TTATGATGGAAATTATCATGTCTGAAAAATGTAGGTTAGCTCTCCAAGTATATTTCAGATCACCACATCTCAGAGAATAAAGGCCCTTTTCTATCAATTTTAACCTACACAGTGTAGAATTACAAACATCTATATTGGATAAACATGCAGTGGTTCTGATTCAAAGGCAAAAAAATATTTTGGAGCACATACACAGGGGTGTAAATTTAAAACTAGTTAGCAGCTCCGTAAAGAAACACTTTCTTTCTTAGAGTTTGAAAAACTAGGGAGAAGATGCATTTTGTTTTAGGAGTTGCTGTCAGCTGTTACATTCATGCCACCTCCATTCTTTTATCTTTGGACACAAAGCACTGCATTGCTCTAATAAATGCTTTAACATTAAATCTTGGGTACTATGAAGAGCTTTTTGTAAGTATTTTTGTAATTCCTTCCTTGAGATATCATATTGTCCTCCTGGTAAATACATTTTCATATTTGTCTAGTTACATTATCCTACGTATACACATATTTCCATACCTGATATCAATTCTGTAAATAATCCATATGCTTAAAACCAAAGTGCATATTACCTGAACAGTTTACCCAGCTGAATTGGATTCCCCAACTTAATATTCTTATTAATTGCTGACCCTTGGGCTTATGTATTATTTAAAACTTCTTGCCAATCCTCCACAAAGTTCCAAGTGCTTCATAATAGTAAAAATATATATATTAAGAATATCAAGAATAAAACAGCACGAGGAGGAACAGCAACATGTAACGTCAAGACTTTTTTTAATATTACATGTAAACATTCAAGGTCTTCCTGAAATAAAAAGACAATTATTTTAATGGGAAGGATTTCCCTTAGAAAGGAATTCTAGTTATTTGGCTGTTTCCAGAAAGTATTGTTCTAGTCCCATCAAAAAGTATACCAGAGGTTATGGTCATATTTGGAGGAGTCTCTGGTGATTTCAATAGATGGGTAGCTTTGTATGAGAAAAGGGAATCTCTAAAATATTGCAATCTTTAATCATTCAAGGCTTTAAAATTCTTTACAGTGCTCTAGATTATGCAGGAAAATGAATGGCCATTCAGTTGTTTCAGTATACTATGTTCCCTAAATGCAGGCTGTGAACAAATACAAACTGTGGTTTCCGAATACTGTATGATTTAAAAGGTTGTTAGCTTTCTGTTGATAAAATCTTAATGTATATGTATTTAATACAATGAATACAATCCAAAGACATGATTATGATATTTAAAACCCCACACGATTTAGGACTAAGTGATTTGAAATAGTATTTTCTCCCGCAAGAGTTTGCCCTATTTTACTGAGATTATGCTTTTATGCTTTCTTTCACTTGAGTATTATTGTAGTTGCATTACTGTACTATAACCTAGTTTCAGTAACATTTTTTAAAAAATTAAACATAATTCCTACAAAAAGCAGCAAATTCAACTAAGGAATAAAAATGGGGCCACTAAGAAATGAGCTGAAATGATCAATATGTGCAAGGAAACCCTGACATTTGCAAAAATATAAAGCAGCGATGGAATACTGAGCATTGAGGTAAGGGAACATCAATTCCTGGCTGTGTAATATCTTGAATGCCATGTCCTGCAGCGTTTTAAAATGAAACATGGTTGCCTTGTGGACTTCCTACAGAAGGTGAATAACTGCCTCTTTCCTCCATTTTTAATGATAACCTCATTCTCAGAAATAGTCTTACAGATCCTTATCAAACAAGTGTTGACAAGCACATTTGCCTAGGCATTCTGTGAGTGCAGGTGCAATTTTGATTTGATATGCACCTGTATTTAGTTTGCACCACCTACAAATTTTAAGTTGTTTACAGTACTGAAAAGGGTATAATAAAATATCTCTCAGTAGTTAAATGAATTTAGCAAGCACCGTTGAATTATGATATTCCAAACATTCACTTACTAAATTTAGTAATATGTACAATATAGGTAAAATGCAGAAAAGTTACAATAATACAGAATTTTGTTCAACTGTACGACTGTTCACTAGATGGCAGTACAGGATCATCAAGGCATACCAAATACAATAGCTATTACATGTCTTTCAATATAATATTGACTCCAGTTAAATGCAACCTTGTCTTAAACGAAAATGTAATTACTGTAGGAAAAGCACTATTGTAAAGCTAAGTATGATTATCACATTTGTTTCAAATAAGAACCAAACTGTTGTTAAAATATTAAAAGTTATTTGAAATCTGTGCAATTATTAACACTGTAAAATATACAAGAGCAATCTCCTTTAGCACCAGAGACAAATACAGTATAGATTACAGGTAGTCCTTGATTTACAACAGTACATTTATGACTGTTCAAAGTTACAACAGCACTGAAAAAAAGTGACTTATGACTGTTTTTCACACTTACAACCGTTGCAGCATCCCTGAGTTCATGTGATCAAAATTCAGATGCTTGGCAACTGACTCACATTTATGACGGTTGCAGTGTCCTGTAATCATGTAAATACCTTTTGCGACATTCTGACAAACAGTGACAATGGGGAAACAAGATTCACTTAACAACCATGTTACTAATTTAAGAACTGCAGTGATTCACTTAACAAATGTGGCAAGAAAAGTCGTAACATGGGGCAAAACTCACTTAACAAATTTGTCACTCAGCAACATAAATTTTGGCTCAATTATGGTCGTACATTGAAGACTAAAGTGAAGTGTGAAGTTTATATGTAATGTCACATTTAATAATTCCATGTATATGTATCATTTTGCACATATTCATACTCAGAAGTCATGTAATCTACCAATCCACTTTCCTCTAAGCTTTCAGAACACATAAACACTGTTATAAAATGAGGACCCAAATTGTTGTAGGCAATATGCTGACCCTGTAAACTGCTTAGAGCCGGCTGTAAAACACTGTAAAGCGGCATATAAGTCTAAGTGCAATTGCTATTTATATGACTTCATATACTATCCTATGTGCCAGAATTCATCTACCTACCTATCACTAACACTCTGATTCCTGTAACCTTTAACTGGGTGAAACAGTGCAGTACAGGTCACAAAGTTTTCAATGACGTTACCTCAAATGACCTAAATCACAGAATGTGTCCAAAATCCAGAACCCATGACTGCAATAGAATTGAAATTTGGCAAAATTTATAAAACAATTTTATGATATAAAATTATCATAAAGCATTTTATAAAATGCAAAATGTCATAAATTTTTTTGTCTATGTTTTTCTATGTTATACAGTTCAATATATATAATTCAATATGTTCAATTTTCAAGGAGATACATCTATGAATGTATCCAAACTTTTTTTTAAAAAAGCAATACATTACAAATTCTGTCATTCTTGAGAAAACTGATAAGGAAATATTTCTGAAAGGATGTAAAGGTCCTTAAGTGCTTGGACTTCACAAAATAACATCCAATAAGTCCTAAACAGGACAAAACCAGTCACATAATGCCAGCCTTCTGGCCACCAATGTATCCGAAGTCATGTTAATTTAAATGTGACTGAATGAATTCAGTTGCTTGAGTATATACAACATGCTGAGCCATAAATGAGCCAAAGCAGCTAACGTCATTTAAATTATATTCTGTTATACTAACCCTAATGCACATTCTCTCCATAACCTCACCTTCCCATCTGGGTACTTTTCAAGAAAGTTAACTATAAACTCAATTCCAAACAAATGTGGAGGTTGCAGAAAAGCAGATTTTGCTTTTAAGATGTAAATACAGTCATGCTTAAAATCACATGGCTTAGCATAATGTGAGAAAACATTCTCTATGATTTTAAGCATGACTGTGTTTACCTCCTAAAACCATCAGTGGTTTACTAGACCGACACCAGAAATCATATTGCAGTCTACTTAGAATGATGTACAGTACAGCTTTAGGCAATTATTGTGGGAGATGAATTTTTATAGTCTAAATAGTGCCACAAAGCTCAATATTCCTTGCCACACACTTGAACAGATAAACTAAATAAGGAAATAAATTATCTGATTTCTCCTTTCTCAGCAATCAAATGCTTCCATAGCTAGATAGCATGAGCTAGCTACATTTACATGGCAAAATAAACAAATGAGGTAACTATAAAACCTCCTTCAAATTGAGCTCATCCTCTGGTAATTTCACCAACTCATCCAAATAGTTTCTGTCTTCTTCTAGTTTATTTATTTATTTTTAACATAACAATGCAGCCCACAAATATGGGATTTCCTGGTAGTCTTCTATCCACTGACATTCATTACCTGATCCTCCTTAGATTTTCAGTATCAACTAGCTGTCATCTGGTTGACCAACCGCAATCTACCGTAATCGATTAATTTTAGCCTAGAGGAGCCTCCCTTTGTTGTTTGTTTAGGGCAGGGATCCTCAAACTTGGCAGTTTTAAGACCTGTAGACTTCAACTCCCAGAATTCTCTAGCCAGCAAAGCTGGCATAGCTATGCATAGCATAGCTGGCTGGAGAATTCTGGGAGTTGAAGTCCACAGGTCTTATCAAACTGCCAAGTTTGAAGACCTCTGGTTTAGGCTTTAGTGCCTCCTGCAAATCTGCTTCAAAAAGCTCTTCCGAAAGGAAGAATCCAAGTAAATAAGAGAAAGGTGATATTCCTGGGTCCGTTCAAACAACGGGAGGTGTCAAAGTCCTCCTGGGAGGGCGCTAAGGCAAGGATGCTGTATTTTGGAACAACCCGTGTGATTAAGCTACTGCTCAGAGTGGAATGTGACCAATATTATGTTACGTGGAGGACTGAGGTTAGTTTGGCCATAGTATACACCTGAAATGAGAATAAAGCCCTGAGAAATAGCCTGAGAAGCTTGTTTTGCAAAGGCAGTAAAAAAACAAAACAAAAACCAAGCAGAGACCGGCCGGGAACGAGTGCATTGCGACCTCTTAACCAGCAGAGGGCTGAAGTACCAGAGGGGGGAGGGAGGGAAACGGGACACTCAGCGACACGTGACCGTCCACAGAGCAGACGGCGTAGCTGGTCCACTCACCCGCAGCGGCCGCATTCGGGTCTCCGCGTGCTGAGCTCCACGGGCAGCTCCCACAGACCTTCGCAGCACTCTTCGCTTTCCTCAGTTGCGTTCTCCGGTGCAGGAGTTGTAAGCTGCCGCTGCTCCTCTCCGTTCCCCGCCGCGTCAACCGACCACGGCCCCTTTTCCATGGCTGCCGCGAAGACTTAAGCCCAGGACTCGACGGCTTTATGTGTGCAGGACGGGCCAACTCTGTAATCCCTGGGGTCTTGCAGGCAGAGCTGAGGAAATCCCTTAAGCAGCCAAAACGGCAGCCTGCTCCACCTCTTGCTTCCTGACCTGTGTCTCTAAAGACACGTGAAGAAAGACCGGCTCTGAATCCGAAGAAGCCCGAAAGGCAAAGCTTGGACACGTGGTTAGAATGTCCGCCTCCCCCTTTCCTGGCATCCACAACAGATTGAAAAAAGCGGTTTTTTTCATTGGCCGCAAGAGGGCTCCGCTGGAAAGTCTTGTTAGTTTGGTGTGATGGGGAAGAATGCGGGCGCGGTTCGGTATTGTTTAGTCTGAAAAGTTTATTTGCCAATGCTCCACGTAGTTAGGGTTTAATTCCAGGGAAGCGTCAAGTTTAGAAACAAGTCTTGTATTCTGTCCCAATACAGCAGCCCTATTTAAACTGATCTTCTCAATTTATTTATTTTTTTTATTTTGTCAAGCATCCATAAGAGAACAGATATAAGTATAAACATGATTATGAATACAGGAAATGGATACGAATAAATGGGGACAGTAGGACAGGGACGGTAGGCACGTTGGTGGGCTTATGCATGCCCCTTACAGACCTCTTAGGAATGGGGTGAGGTCAACAGTAGACAGTCTAAGGTTAAAGTTATGGGGGTTTGGGGATGAAACCACTGTCAGGTACTGCATTCCAAGCATTGACCACTCTGTTGCTAAAGTATTTTCTGCAATCGAGTTTGGAGTGGTTTACCTTAAGTTTGTATCTATTGTGTGCTTGTGTATTGCGGTTGAAGCTAAAGTAGTCACTAACAGGTAGGACTTTGTAGCAGATAATTTTGTGTACTACGCTTAGGTCAGACTGAAGGCAGTGTAGTTCTAAATTGTCTAAGCCCAAAATTTCAAGCCTGGTGGCATAAGGTAACTTTAAGAACTTTACCTCGACTGGTTTACTCGAATCAGTTGCTTTATTTTGAATAACAGACCCATAAAGTGGATTACCGAATGTTCAGTTTCACAGCATGTGAAAGTAAAATGCTGGCTAGTTTATGGTGCCTTGGACAACTAGGACTTAATACTCCACAAACTCTTAATCACTGTAGGTTCCAACAAGTTTACTGTATGCCAGGCTTGGGAAAGCTGTATTAACTTGAATCTTATGCATGTTTATGGGATGAGGACTAGGTTTGTGGGGGCAATAAACTGACTTTGTATAAAAAAGAACAGCTTGGGGGGGGGGCGCGAAAGCCCTACTAAGCAGGTATATACAAAAGTATGAAGGCTATTGCTTAATGCATTGTAAGCCGCCCTGAGTCTCCGGAGAAAGGGCGGCATATAAATCGAACCAATAAATAAATAAATGATAAAAATGATTTGCCAAGTAGCATAAGATTAAACTAAAAAAAAAATCACATATAAGTCCTGTGCCTACTGTAGTGAATATTCCAGAAATCCTCAAGGTTGGTTGTGGAACACCTCTAAGATCCAGAGGCAAAAATGTACTTTTGATATATGGAGCACAGCACCTGTATACATCTTCTTAAAACATATATGCTTTTTTTTAAGTATCAGACAGTTCCACAACTACAGCACAATTCTCAGAAAAGTTGCATCTATCTGAAGGTATGACAGATGGATGCTAAAGTCATTCTTCCACATTCTCCAAAGCGCTTTTTGTAGAGGAACTCCAAAGCATTGAACTGTCAAATTAAATTTCGCTTAATATCTAAACTCCACAATTATGTAGAAGTCCTGAAATCTAACACAACTATGTTAATTTATAATTGCATAAGGTCATGATGTACATTTCATCACTTTCTTCCATTGCACTGCACAAAAGATTGTCAATATTGTTCTGGGGATTAAAAAGCATAGTTTAATTTTATGTCTCCATAAACGTCCTTTTCTGAAGCTCCCTAAATAGAACTGTTCAAAATGCACAGTACAAAATTTCTAGATTTACCTCATTAAATAAAATAAATTTGGAGTTACACACCTCACTAAACAAAGATGTGATTTCCTTTTTATGCTTTAGTAAGATATAGTGACCCAAACTAGCTTTTTAACCAAGGTTTATGACTTACGACTGTTGTGAACCAAGCCAACTGGGTATATTCATTAAGGTTAAAACCATAGGTTACATTGCTGTTTAAACATAGTCTTGTAGTACACAACTGTGTAAAAATGAGGCAAGTTTACTATCTGGAATTGTAACCATAATTGGAATCTTGTAGTTTCTTACTATTGATATGTGAATCCCACCAAGAACTATATGTGAATCACATTTAAGATGCACAGATACTTGCAGCATAGAAGATCAGAAACTACAAATAGGTAGATATTCCTTCCCACATCTACCTGTTTCCAACGCAATTATTAAATTTGCGGATGACACAACAGTGGTGGGGTTCATTAATAAGAACAATGAATCTGCTTACAGGAAGGAAGTACAAGGGCTGACATTGTGGAGTAATGAAAATAATCTCCCACTTAACACCACAAAAACTAAAGAACTTATAATTGACTTCAGGAGGAAGAGAGATGTACATTTACCATTGTACATAAATGGCGAGGAGATGGAGAGGGTGGGTAGTTTTAAATTTCTGGACATTTATATCTCGAAGGACCTCTCATGGACTATGAATGCTAATGTCAGATCCCTAAAAGTGATACTGCCATTCAATTGGAAGAAGGGGGGAGACTTGTATTCGATTTACTAGCATTGCCTGTGTCAACAGATATTTTACAACCTATATCCTGGCTCAAAAAGCCTTGAGATCCTCTTTACGTGGAGGAATGTTTATGATAGCCATGTGGGTTGTTTCACTTTAAAGGATAATGGTGTGAATGCATGTTTGTTCAGGTTCTCAGGGAAACTAGTAAAGAAAACATCTTCACACTTGTGTACTGGCTAAAATCTGCATTCTGACTTAAAGGGAGGGGTCTCTACTACTTTAATCCTACTTGTCTTGCCTAAGGGTATTCAAATCTTGCTTTAACTGGGTTATCACTTCTGCTTAATAAAAGATTCCTTTTGAACAACCACGTTTCAAGAGTATTTACTTTCTTAAGTTGGAAGGAGAGGCAATCATTACAACTAACATGCTTGTGAAGAAGGCACAGAAGAGGCTGTACTTCCTGAGAATGTTCAGGAAGATAAATCTATCTCAGCATCTATTTCTGTCCTATTATCGCAGCACCATTGAGTGTCCTGACATGTGGCATTCTGGCATGGTATGGGAGCACCTCTGTAGCGGACAAAAAGGCCCTACAGAGAATCGTTAAAACTGTCCAGAATATTATCGGACTCCAGCTACCAGCCTGGACGACATCTTCGAATCTCGCTGTTTGAGAAAGTTGCATAACATTCTCAGAGACTCTTCCCATCCTGCTTACAATCTTTTTGGACTGTTGCCTTCTGGCAAAAGATACAGAACAATTAAAACATGGACCACATGTTTTTTGAATAGTTTTTATCCTAGAGCTATAATTGCACTCAATGAACTAAAGGGCCACCATCAGTGAGCTGTTGGACAGTATTGCTTGGTCTGTTGTGTGGATGTTTGGGTGGTTTAGGGGTGGGGAATTGTGGTGTGTGTCTGTGTTTGGGGATTGTTAAGTGTGTTAGACCTGGTCTTTGGGTGTTAAGTAAATTTCATTGTATGGGTATACTGTGTATACACGTATAATGACAATAAAATTATTTTATAACTAGACCAGCTTTTATCAACTTGATAGTCTCTGTATATGTCAGAAATCAGCACATGTAATTATCAGCTAAAATGGTTAGCTGGGAAAAATGGACAGCCCATACATATGACACAGTTCTGAATAAAATGAGAAAGTATTTCAATTTTATTTTAGCATTTGCAGTACAATATTTGATTTTTATCCCACCTTTGTTTATAAATAACTCAAGGTGATGAATTTATCTAATACTCCTTCCTCCTGTTTTCCCCACAATAACCCTGAGATGGGTTGGGTTTGAGAGTCGAAAGTCAATACCTAAACAAACTTGTAACAGCGCTGTGAATCCGACAAGTTCTCACCTATTTAGTTTTTCAGTAATGTAGCAAGCTTAATATAACCCATTTGCCAGTTGCAATTAACTGAACACCTTCTATACCCGCAAAAATAAGCTCCACTGAACTCAATGGGGCTTATTTCTACGTAAATACCTATAGGACTGAATATAGGAGGAAGAGAAGCCCGTTTGTTCTCACATTATGTCTTTCTGAGTCGTTTGAGCTGAACATTGTAACTTTATCGAAATTTAATAGTTCTCACGCTGCACGGAACTAAACTAGCACTGCTATTGTCACATACATTGCATCCACTTCACGCGCCTTAATCTGACGATTATCCTAGAAGCACAAACGTTATCAACGCAGATGCACCATAGAGGTTTCTTGCCACTTTCACCGACCGCCTAGAGCTGTCGTAAAATATCGCCGCGTGTCAACACTACGCATGCTTCCGAGCCCATCCCACCCCCGTCTTTCAAAAGAGCGCATGCGTCTGCCCGCCGTTATCCATCCTAGTTCTATTATGTTAGAGAAAGGGAAAACAGAAAAAGTTCGTCGGTTAGGGCAGAGACGTCATTGTTTCATTGATCTCGCGATGTTTCCCCGCATGATGAGCTTTCGACGCATTCTCTCGGACTGAGGTTGCCGGAGGAAGGCGTCTTGAGGCGGAAGGAGAGCTCGCGTGCGTGGTTAGCCCGAGAGAAGCTCTTGGTCTGCCCGTGGCGGGGAGGCGCCTGTGAGGAGGCCCGCCCCACACTATGTGCGGCCGTCACCACCTCCTCCTCCTCCTGAGAGACTGATCAGCGGCCGAGCAGCTCACAGAGCCTCGGCGGTGGGCTCAGGCGGCTGCGTGGCCGGCTGGCCGGCCTGGAGCAGGAAAGGACGGTTGCGCTATGAATCTGCACCAAGTGCTAACGGGGGCTGTCAACCCCGGGGACAACTGCTTCTCCGTGGGGAACGTCGACGGCCACCCTTTCACGGTGAGTCTCTGCCTCACTGGCGGGGCCGGTAACGGATTCCTCCTGCGTCCTCTCCCCGGCTCCTGCCAGGGTTTGGCCTCAGCCTTAGCGCGGAGCCGAACGAATGGCGTCAGGATGGCGTTGGCGGGTGGTTCAGCAGGTGCCTTATTAACCTGCGCGCGACCTGTCCGTGCAGCGTCGGTGTCGGCGCCCATGTTATGTTAAAACCGGAGTGGGGGGTGTGGGGGAATGAATCCTGGTGCTTTCTGAGCTAGGAAATGAGGCTAGTTTGGGAAGGCTTTATTTATCCTTTGGTTTCCTCCTCCGTCGTCTTCTCACGTCAGTATTTTTCTTCCTATTCGTACTGAATTCGCCTTTACAAAAGACAGATAATGTAACAGCTGACTAGTATTCCTCCCCCACCCCACCCCACCCCGGCGACTAATTTAAATATATGAAACATGAATATCGGAGTGAAGAGGAGGAGGAAGAGTTGCTAGAATCCAAGCTTTTATTTCCAGCTTCCTTATACTCAGAAAGGGGAAGGCTTATTTGCTGGGACTTCATTTTCTGGGTTCACATGACACCCTTTTGGATTATAAACTAACAACAGACCGGCTTTGCACAAATGCTAGGCTAAATTATCTGGCTAGTTTGTGATTCGCTAGCTACATTCACAGTACGCTTAAGCCCCAAGCCTAGGTTAAGGAACAGTAGCTGTTACATAGTATGCTATGTCCAACGCAGTAAATCATATTACCACTTAACATACTGATCTGTTTCACACAGCATATTAAGGCAATGGCTAGGTTTCCCACTGCAATCTCTAAACCCAGTTCCACTGTAATTTAGCACAGTGTATTGAGTATGAGAATCCTTGCATCTTGTGAATAACATTTCTCACTGTTGACCCCAATTATTTTATTTAGGTCTGACTCCAAAGACTGACTTCTGATTCTTCATTAAATTTGTAATTTCTATTTATTTATAACTCATATTAAAGCCCATGAAACTCCTTGAACTGACTCTAGGTGTTAAACAGAATTAAAAACAATGTCAAATGTGAAATAGAACAAATGTCCTTTAAAAGCTTTTACAGATGGAGCCCACATCTGTCAGTATTGTGAGGTAGTCCAGTCAAGAAGCACAACCAGAAGTACTAGTTCTTCTATATTGTAAGAGTACATTAACAGATTGTTGCCAATCTGAAAGTACATTTATACTTCTCCCCCCCCCCCCCCATTACCTTTATAGCCCAGGAAACCAAGAAAAATTATTTCTGAGATGTTTGCCATAGCCACATTCTTTCTGCTGTCTAAGCCACTGCTTAACTGACCATTGGCCCTGGATATGGGTCTTACCCCTGCTTTCCAGGGTCATTCCCGCATGCCATTACAAAATTCTACTTTAGCTCAAAGCTTGGAAAAAGACTCAGTTTCAAGATATGTGCCATCTGGGCAACGCTGATTCAAAGGCAAGTGTCATAACACAACCAACAGCTTCTTGGATGAGACTCGAAGTATGCTGAGTCTGATTTTCAGAATGGTCAGAAATAATGGGAGAAGAATGTTCCCTAAGATAACTAGGCCTTAAGTTAAAGTACTTTGTATATAAGAAGCAACCATTTGAATAACACCCATAAGCCTACTGGTAGCTACTGCACTTTTTGCAGGGGAGGTGTTACAAAAATGTACCATTTATTCTGAACTAATGGTCTTAAAGGGCAGCACAAAATCATGTATCATCTGTACAGTATATACTAATCTCACTGAAAAATTGCAGAATTGGAATTTATTAGGGAATTATTTATCTGTTCAGTGACGAATAGACATGGCTACTAGAACTATATTTTCAGCGTTTCTTACATAAGATTCATTTAAGAGTCTTAATTTGCTTCTTTGTGAAATTATATCCGTGAAATAATTCATTAGCAATGCAGGAATATTGCTTGTATAGGATATTCAGCAATTACCTTTGTATGTTACCTTAAATATTGGCTAAGTAGAAACAATAACTTGTAGTTATTCCTCTTAGAGTAAAATTAGATGGTAGCAGCCATTATATGCTAATTCCCATTTATCTCTTAAATTTTATATATATTACTATATATAAGAATTGAAAGTGGGACCTTGTGCTTTGGAAAGAACATTAATAATCCTCTATCAGGTTTTTATTATGGCATCATCTTGTATTTTTCAAGCAGAGAAAAACCTGACAGACCTTGAAGAACCAGAATTTTACAAGCTAAGCTTATGTATTGTTTACATATAATCCAAGAATATTTAATGTCAACAATGATAGTTGATGGGAATACAAGGAAGCTTTTACTTCAGAAATCTTTTGTTTCAGGTTTCTTGGAGGGCATTCTCTTTATTTTAGGTGGAGGTTCTATTGTGTCTATTTTTTCATTCTGATAAATTTCTAACTGTACACCCAAAATAGGAAATATTGCAAGGCAAGATAATAGATTTAACACTTCAATAAGATAATTAAATCAAGGAAGATAAGCTGGTAAATTCATTATAGTCAGCTGTCACGTCAACTGAGAATTACTATATGAATACTATATGTAGCTTTAATGTAGAACTGGTCTAAATTGCGTTATAATGTTCCAAGTTCTCAATATTTTTGAAATGTAATAGTTTAAAGGGGCTAAATATACTGGAGATGTTCATCTATCAGCACTGGAGCAGTGACCTTGGCAGCAGCCTGGAATGGCATGTGGGGAGGCCCTGGACTGAATTGCTCCTATGCATTCTTTCTCTGTGCGCTGATCTTGGGGTGCTCTATAGTTTTCTGGAGCTCCAACAGATGAAACACCAGAAACAATGTCTAGAGCAGTGTTGCGGAAAGACAAAGAGTGAATCTGACCAAGTACAAGTGAGAGCCTATATTCAGACCTATATCATGGCAATAAGGGTGGCAAAACATTGCTATTTCTCCACCCTTATTGCATCTCTCTATAGCTGCCCAGCAGCCCTGTTCAGGAAGAACCACTCCCTATTGAAGGAATAGGGTCCATAGGAATATTTCCAGGACTGTGCTGAGGAATATTGCTATCCAGGAGAGTTTCTCATATTCTCTCAAAGATTGGAATCTGATTGGTTAAAGTCCTATTGAGTTACTAAGGAAAGTCTTGTGATATTAACTGGACTATGATTGTGTTATGTCTAAGGAAATGGAAAATGGAAATGGAAAAAACCTGTTTATTAGATTTTGCCACACCTGGGTTATTAAAGCAGCCAGACGGTAATCATGGAATGGATTCACGCAGTACTTTTGATCCTGAGAAACATGGTGATCCCACCAGACTTAAAGGAGGTGGTGGTATGCTCCCTCCTCAAGAGGTCATGACTTGATCCTTTCCTGTTGGAGAATTATCAGTCAGTTTTCAATCTTTCTGGTGAAGGTTGTGGAAAAGATGGTTGGATAATAGTTAAAGAGGATCTTGTAGGAGACAAATAATCTACATCTGTTTCAGTATGACTTCAGACCGGAGTATATTACATAGACAGCATTGGTTAGAGACCTTTGTCAGAGCCAGGATGGGGTGGTGCATCCATCCTAATGCTCCTTGAACTTTTGTCAGCTTTTGATACTGTCGACCACAGTAATCTTCTGACTGGCTGTGGGAATCAGGAGCGCAAGGCACTATCCTTCAGTGATTCACCTCTCTTAGAAATCAGTTCCAGTTGGAGGAGAAAGATTATGTCTGTAACTCCTCACTAGAGAGGTACCTTGTTTAGCTGCTCTTATTGCCATAATGTAATCCTTAAATTTGGGTTTTACACCTCTGGCTGGTTTTGTTCTTCATCATCTTCCAGTAATGATCTAGACATAACTTTTGTAATTTCATTTCCTAAGCCCTTCAGAAATACAGGAAGCCCCATGGGATTAACAAACATGGGTTTAAGGCCTCTGGTAGAACTGACCAACAGCTGCCCAGGAAAAATCCCAACATGCCTTTGAAGCCAATCAAAGGCTATTAATTACCTTGAATGGACTAAACAGGAGTATACCAACCCTAGGACTGATGACTGTGGGTTCCCACGTCAGACTGTAGATCACATCATGACCACTGTAAGCTGAAGACATTTACCAGTCCAGTATCTGATTTTTTAAAAATACAAACAAGACTGCACTTCAATTATTAGATGAGACATTGATATTTGAATAGATCTTTTTGACATTTATAATTTTTGGGATTCTACTAATATATTTGAAATATTAATTTGTATTGCTAGTCCATGTAGAATATGCCATACACTAAATAAATAGATAAACTGAACAGGAAGTCCTAACTGCTTGCCATGCCTGAGCTGATTGGCTTAAGATAAACAATTACATAACTATAGAAGTGATATTTGTTTATTGAAACTTTGAGATTGTACATGATTCTTCTAGTTGCCTGATTTTAGTTAGCTATTATAGTATTAGGCCCAAATTTTAACTGAGGTTATTACTAAGATGAAAATGAAATCATTATAATTTTTAAGATAGCTTGATTTAGTTTCTGCTAGTCTCAGCATGATTTTCTAAATCATTGTTTATCAAATCTGTACATAGTCTTGCTGACACACACATTTGTTGCAGTAGTGGGAATATAAATAAGTCAATTTATCTAATCCAAGTATTTATATTTAACAAGCCCAAATCTATTTTAAATGAACTATTTTGAATTTTAGTTTTTGAAAAAAAACAAACATTGTATTTCTTTGATCACAATAAGGTGAATAAAGTAACCTTACATGTACTCAGTTTGTATAATGTTGAAATGTAAAATACATTTCTACGTTTTTGTAAATGTAGAAAATAGTTTGATGTAAAATACATTTCTACGTTTTGTAAATGTAGAAAATAGTTTATGTACTCAGTTTGTATAATGTTGAAATGTAAAATACATTTCTACGTTTTGTAAATGTAGAAAATAGTTTGATGTTTCTTTTTCTCTACTTTGTTAAGTGGTTGGATCCAATGGCCTCTTCAACTGGCAAATAGGAGTATTTAGGAAAATGTAGAACGTGTTATATGGCATATCTGTCATGAATTTTATTTTGAATGTATTTACACTTATGCATATATGTGTGTGTGTGCAAATTATTTGTATAAATATGTGTGTGTGTAGGTGTATGCAATGTGTACCTTTATATATACTAATAAAACACTTGTGCCTATAACCTTTAACTAGACTAAACAGTACATCATAGGGCAAAACATTTTGAACCAAATTATCTCAAATGGACTAATTTACAAAATCCGGGACCCATGACTCCTGTGGAATTCAAATTTGGCAAATTTTATCAAGCATTTTGTGACATAAAATTATCATACAACCATTTACGAAGTAATAAAAAATGTCATAAAACTTTTCTTGTGATTAACTCTTGATGTTTGAGTGTGGTATATAGTTTAACACGGGCTACTTTCAAGGCATATCATCTCTGAATATCTCCCTGAATTTTTAAGAACTTTTCAAATAAGCTTTGCCATTATTGAAGGCATTTAGGAATCTTTTAAGGAATGTATCTCTGAAATGATAATCCAAAGGTCACGGGTTATGTAGTTTCATTTGTAAGGACAAAACTAGTCATTCACTACCTCCTGATGATCAAGTGATATGTAAAAGCCACATGAATATATGCTTAAATAGTTCCTTCCTCCTTGGTGGAATCCTAAATCTCCAATGTAAAGGCATTTCTTATAAAACAGTTATATCTCAAGTTTGAGAGCTCATATAAGGAAAGTTTATAGGGTTCATAGATTGTACATTTGCCCTTTGTAATTATATCTTAATGAAATTCATGAGATAAAAATTAAATTCATGAGATAAAAATTAAAGGTATATTATGTGGATAACCACATAATATCTGAGAATTTTTTTTATTTATGTTAGTGGTAAATTATTAACGTAATATTCCTTTGCATTATAAACATGATTAAAATATGTGTGTAGACTGAGTTATGGACACTAGATATTGTTCCTTTCTTTGGGTGGTTAACAAAAAATAAAAAGGACAATTATTTAGTCAATTTTCCCTTTTTTTCCCCTGTAGGCTTATGCATCAGGATGTGACATAGTGATATTGGGTACAGATTTTGAAAGATTACAAATAATTCCTGGAGCAAAATATGGAAATATACAAGTGGGGTGTGTAGATTGTTCCATGCAGCAAGGGAAGGTAAGTAGTAATGGTACTTAGGTTATATTCCAATTTTCTATACAATATGATTATAATAATGACATACCAAATTCTGTAAGTACTTGCTGTTGGGAGTCATTCACATGGATGTATACTTAAATAGATAAAAATGCCATAAAATATATACTTAATTAGACTTAAATGGATAAATATACTTAATAGATAACAATTTCTTGCAGTTGAGTACTCAATTATATTTCTAGATTCAGATGTATTTATTAATAATTATGTAATGCATTCCTAAATGCATATTAAGCAAAGTGATGACAAAAGTGCTTCACCACCTTGGTTTTCAAATGACACTTAGACAAAGGTTTTTGGGTAAGCCAAAATGGCTGAGTGTATGCAACATAAGCCAAAACCAAACGTTGATATTTAGATTATTTAGTATTAATTTGGCTTCTTTTAACAATTTAGTGCTTTAATTTTTTCAAGCAATATCAATATTAATACTTAAAAAACAGGATATTTAATTCTACAAAAATAGCATATAAAGTATTTTTTTTAAAATCAAACCTGCCTATGAAATAAATTATAGGCAAAAGCGGAAGTGAATTCAAGCATCAGCGTGGGTCTTTGGCCATAGTAGATTATTGTGTATCATGTGAAATGGAAGGACTTTTGTTTCTCCATGTATGCATTAAAGTCTGTTGAATAAATTCATGCTGATGATTTTATTATTTAAATTAATATATTAAAATATTTTTAAATTTCCTAAAATGTCTCTGTAATGTTAAATCTGCTTGTCAAACTATTTTACTGTTTTTCTCATATACATACATACATACAATGCTATATCTATATGTATAGAAATATATTTGCATTGATTTTATGCCTGTTCTAGAGAAGTTAGGAATATAGATATAGATGTATATTATTTGTCTTTATGTTGTATGCCACCCACAGTCATACTTTTTGAGTTGAACTGCCTTACGGATATTATAAATAAATAATTCTTTTATTGGCTGATATTCTTTCAGCCAACAGGATATGGTTGAATAAACTTCTGTGCCTTAACAGTTCTATGAAATGGAGACTACAAAACCACTAATTTAAATTGCAATTAAATTGTTTTAGATTGCAGCTGCTTATGGAAATATAATTTGCATCTTTGAGCCAGTCAAACATCTAAAGCAGAAGAAGAATCATAATTATGTAAGTGATTCTGTCATATTAATTATATACATAATATGATTTGCTTTGATTATTTCTGAAATCTAATAAACTTTGAGTGGGTTATTAACAGTTACACAAATTTTCCTGAAATCGTAATAGACTCCTTCGTACTTAAGACATTAAGAAAAGCTATATTGTTGACTTAAGTTTAAGTTAATTTTTACATGGCGTTTTGGTGGGTCTAATTTATTTGATTGATTTTATCCAGCATTTGCACTGTTACCGGTTTTTAATAGCAACTGATGACCTTCAGTCCTGAGGCTGGTTTTAGCTCCCATGATTTAATGAACTATTAGGCAAACAAAAAGTAGTATAGAAACCACGAAATTAGCCCTTCGACTTAAAGTGTCTGAAAAAAGCCAGCTAAAAGTACTTTGGTAGAAAAGGAAAAAGGTGTATCAGTTGCTTGCTGTGTAAATTTTTTATTCAAACCTGAAGGCAAAATCATATTGAAAGCAACTAATTTTGTAATTTTTACATGGACAGTTTTCGTAACTACCATATGGTATACACTGCTGACTGGCAATTTTTTTCCTTTTCTGCCTATAGTCCTGGAATTTCCAGAGAGTTTTTCATCAAAGGATTAAGATGCACAGATTATAAGTAGCATTCCAGGGAGTGAAAAGTTTAAGTCACATTTGGTTTGACTGCTTTATTTTTATATTAAGATAACTGAATTTTTAGCCATTTACTTATTCATTCCAAAAAAGAATGGAAACTTTCAGGTGTCCTGAAAGTACAAATGATCTTGGATTACAAAACACTGGGAAGTTTGATTTATGCAACAGTAGTGTCTTTCATGGTGCAATACTGATTACTGCTTTTCAATTACATTTCAAAATTAATTGACCACATGATGAGTTTCAATGAATTTGCCTGGAAGACACTAAAACAAAATTAGACTTCTTCAGAAGGAGAAAAAAGCCACATACACTGAAAAGTAACATCTAAGAACTAAAGATGAATCTTTCCAATGTTTAATCATTGAAGCTAGATAATTGGAGGTAATGGACAAGCTAGTACTTATTTCTTGAAATGCTTTATACAAGCTTCTTATTTAAACATTTCAGGAAATAAGTACAGCTGAAATGAATAAATGACATATTGTGAAACAGAAGGAACATTGCAGCACAACCTTTCATGCTGCATACTGTAATTAACTTTATTTAATTCAATGTGACCTATTAAAGAATCAATATATATTGAATTATAATGATCAAACTTTGCTCTTAAGGTTTGTTTTGTGGAATAGATTAATATATTTGTGTGATAACTCTTACGTCAATGGTCTGTTGTGCAAGTCAATAGTTTTTACCTTGTCTTGTTAAACTTGGTTTTAGTGTTTTTCTTTCTATAATAATAACTAACCAGATACATAGTTTTATTTCCATTTATGCTAAACGTTTGTTTTAAAAAGGTACAAATGTTTAAAAACATTCTTTGCCATATCAGTATTCTGGTTTGAGAAAAAAATTATTCTGTTAGATTTATTACAAATTTTTATTAAGCAACAGTTTCAACTGATTACATGCTAGATTTAAGATTTCACCTTGTGTTTTATTTGATTTTAGGGATTATCTTATCAATGGCAGAATTCAGATCAGATTTGCTTGGAACATGTTGTGCATAATTTAACCTGGGATCCCACAGGTAAGGAAAGATACTTTTCTTAGTTTTCACTCTGATCTAATTCTATTTTAAACATTTCTAGTCTCTTTTCAGTATATTTCCAGATGTTCTAAATTATCAAAGCAAGGCAAGAATATACACCCATACCCACACACATAGACATGCATATATATATGCATATCTTTTAATTGTTTACTTTTAGCTTCTTCTAATGTATAAAGCTATACAAATGAAAAAGTTAAAATCTACAAGTTAAAAAATTACCAGGAGCAGTTTACTTGTTCATGACGTATGTGTACATTTTCAATCATTCAAAGTTTTTAGTTCAGATCTATCTCACTTTGCTCATCTCTGTACATAAAGACTTTGATGTTTCTTTTTTTTTTTGTCTTGTAAATGGATTGTTATATTTATTCATTTATTTTTATTTTTATCCCACTTTTTATTTTTATAAATAACTAAGGCAATGAACATACCTAATACTCCTTCCTTCTATTTTCCCTCTACAACCCCATGAAGTGGGTTGGGCTGAGAGAAAGAGTGACTATCCAAAGTCACCTAGATGACTTTTGTGTGTAAGGTGGGACCAGAATTTAGTCTCCCAGTTTCTAGCTTGGTGCCTTAACCACCAGGGTGTTATTTATTTATTTAAATATTTTAAATGTTTATGATACTTTAGAAGATTGATTAAAGGAAGAAAGTATTAGGAATAGTTGGATGTATAGATTGCAAAAATATATCTATAAAATAAGTTGGTGTTTAAATTATTTTAATATATATCTGCGTATAGTGGCATCTTGTACACTATATTTTGGAATTTCAGTTTTACTTTATCAGTATTTTAATTTTGTAAACATCCTTTCATTTTTATATTCATGTAAGGTAATCTTTTACTCAGTGTTATACACATCTGTTTATAAGGCACCTAAAAATTAAATATAATTGAATGTGGTACAGTTAAAGCAGTCATATGTCACAGAATCAATCTTTTATTTTCTTCCAAATGGTAACCAATATAAATAGAGATTGAGATTTCATATAATTGATAACAGTTTACAATTCAAACATTTTCATGGGACAAAAAGGAATAATTTTTAAAGTGATGTTCATTTGCTAGCTTTTTTTTAAAAAAAATGTCTGTTTGCCTATCTAACATTTATCTACAGTATGGTATTCTCCATGGTTTTATAGTACATAGTTCAAATTTTTCATCTAAATATCTTGAATTCCATAATGGAATTTTTTGTCTGTTAAACTAAACAAATCTGTGCTTTTTAATTTGAAAAATCTAGGCTCTCGTCTGTTGACTAGTTCCAGTTGTTTGCAGCTTTGGTCTAATGTCAGTTTTGAAAATCTGTTAGAAGATGAAAATCGTGAAAAAGCTGATACTCAGAACTGGAGAATCATATGGCAGAGCAAGTAAGAAATATATAAATATTGCCTTACTACCTTTAAAATATTGCCTTTAAAAACATTATTTTTTTAAACTTGATTTGTAGTTTAGTGTAAGATAGTATGTGTTGCATTTTAGAAAATACAGTGAGAAACTGTATTTTATCTTTTAACCTGTAATACTAATAGTTAGCCTTTGTAATATCTCCAAACACATACATGAAACATTTTACAGTAATAAAAAGCAGTGAATTACAACAACAACAACAACAACAACAACAATAATAATAATCCAAACTGCCGACTTTGTAACAACAAAGTTGAAACTGTTTCACACTTAATATGTAAGTGCAGCAAAATCGTGCAAACTGATTACAAAGCTAGACATGATCGAGTTGCTAAATTAATCCACTGTCATTATGTAAAAAATACGACATACCATACCTGTGTCTGAAAAGTCATGGGAGCACAAAGTGGAAAAAGTTATCGAAGATGAGAGAGTAAAGATCTTGTGGGACTTTTGAATACAGACGGATCGTCATTTGGAATATAACATGCCAGATATCATAGTTGTTGACGGCCGAAGCATACAGTTTATTGATATTGCTGTACCAGGAGATGCCAGAGTCGAAGAAAAAGAACTCGAAAAAATCGTGAAATATCAAGACCTGGCCATTGAAACTACACGGCTATGGATGAAACATGTAACAGTGATACCCATTGTCATCAGGCACTTGGTACCATATCCAAGAATTTTACAAAACACATCAAGAAATTGCAGCTTCCTGCAATAACACCAGCAGAACTGCAAAAAATTGCGCTACTCAGAACATCATATATTTTAAGAAAATATTTGGTTGATACTTAGGACGTTGGCAGCAACCCATATCAACCATTAGTACCAATCGATCGTATTTGTGACACATTTTTAATTGTTCAGTTGACTGAGTTTCATTTTTAATGAATAAAAGATAATAATAACGATACAAAGTATCCATCTTCCGCCGCGCCCTTAAAACTTTTTTATTCCAACAGGCTGGTCTGGCCTAACTCCCCCTTTTAAATTGGGTTTTAAATGTTTTTAGATAAATTGGATGTCTTAAATTGGTTTTTTGAGCCCAAATTATTTAATCTATTTTTAATAATTTTTAACTTTTGTATGTTCTTTGTATTTTTATCTTGGCTGTTCACTGCCCTGAGTCCTCCGGGAGTAGGGCGATATACAAATATGATAAATAAATAAATAAATAAATTAGAAATTTCGGGATGGGAAGGAAGAAAGCCCTAAGAGAATCTATTGATCCAACATACTATACAGAATACAAAGGACAAGATAAAAAGATTCAACGTAACTTAAGATATTACAGTAGGAATCTTTAAACTTTAAAGGAAAAATAATAATCCAGAGTATACTCTGCTTATTTACTGTATATGCAAATAATAAGTGAAATAACATCTGCTTTTATCTCAGAGAAATGCCTATCTATGATAACAGCTGTAGGGCATATTATTAATCTTGGCATAAGCAGGAAGACCCCACAATTTTTGCAGTTAATTGAAGTCTGTAACAGCAAAAGCAGATAATCAAAATGCAGCCTATCCCAGTCTAGATTTATAAAGAAGTAAACCCAAATGTCACCAGCATTTTGAAAACCCCTGACATTTTGTCCTGATAGCTTCACATACATATTAAAAATCATCAGAAACTAAGTAATGCCCTCTGTCAACCCACATTATAGTGTGGCTGTCAAGATGCAGACATACAGTTATTCAGTATTTATATTTTTTGAGACCATACTGGAAGTAGGAGTTGGACTACTGTAACATAGTAGCCCCAATCTTTGACATATAGAGATGGTCCAGGAGAATATAATGACTAAGTATCAGAAGGTCTTTAAGAGATTAGTAGAATCAAAAAAGTTGCATTCCCTCTGTTGCTCCTGCAAGAAGTCATCTGTTATGCCAGCCAAAACTGATTCTATTTCCAAACAATTCATTGAACTGAGTCTGAAAAGTCTTGAAAAAATCTCCATCTTCCAAGAACGTTTGCCAGTGTATAGATACTGTTCTTAAGAACGTTTTCTTTAAAAACTGTTGTTTTGTGACTGAAAAATGGTTGAAATAATTGGTTACAGAAAGACCATCTTCAGCATTGTATAGATCATTGCCTCCCTTATAACTTGCAGCAGGGCTTCATCACAAAAATGTTTTCAACCCTCTCTGACTCCTCCTGATTCAGGTAGTGTTCATTTAGCGACTGCCTGGTTTAGTGACTATTCACAGTAAAAACAGTGATGAAAAAGTAACATTCCAATTAATCCTTGCATTTATGATCTTTACAAATCTATAAAGCAAAAGAAAGCTGAAGTAAGATCATAAGCATAGTCATAGTTTCACTTAACAACCACTTTAACAACCAAGTTGCCTGTCTCAGTTGTCGCTAAATGAGGGCTACCTGTAAACTGTCTTTGGTTAGCTAAAATAAGCAAGGTGCACCCAAGATATATGGATGATTAAATTTATTATACATTGATCTGTGATGGTCTCATGATGAGTCAAAAGGCTAGGCTAGATCACTAGCTAATTCTAGTTATGTTGTCAATGTATTCAGACATCAAAATATGAAAGAAATTCCTTCAAAGTAGATCAGTTACATTTGACTTTTAAGTATGTCTCAATCAGAAGTAGTATTTATGTTGATGGGAAAAATGATTATATCCAAAAAGTGTCTAAGAAATTTGTTGTCAGGGTTCCAACTAATGGGTCCCCCCTCCCATTTTCCCACAGTAGAAAGTGTGGCAATCTTGAAGGCCCAAATGTAAAAGATGGCTTCCAGGTCTGACATTTGTCACAATAAATTATTAAGCTTTTGAAATCTCAATTACCATGCTTTCCCTTTCTTTTTATAGAACTGCTTCTCAAGTTCATCTAATGATGTTTTCACCAGATGGAGAATTTTTTGCTACTGCAGGGAAGGTATGATAGACTTTATTTTTAATTTCAATTTGTATCAACTTTTTGTGTTTTGTGTAGAACATCAATATTTTGTAATGATGATGATGATGATGATGATAAAATGATTTTAGTATTAATATATTTAAAGCTTTAGTTAGCAATAAAATAGCAGAAAAAAATAAATCAATTGAGGACCATAACAGATTTTGTCCGTGTGTGTGTGTATATAAATGCATAACATACATATATAAAATATGCAAGATATAATATACATGTACATGTACATGTACATGTACATGTACATTCACTTTGCTTGTGGGAAGTTGCAAGAAAGTTGTTTCTTAACAACCCACAATCCCTACTTAACCGCAAGGGGGACTAGGGTATTTGATTACATGATTTTGTGCTTATAGTTGCATTGCTTAGCAATAGAAATTCCATTCTCAATTACTGCCCTTAAATGTGGATTACTTATATAAGTAATTTCTTGTCATTTTCCTTTCATAAATAGGAATGTTACTGAATTTGACTATAGGCTAATACATATTATAAAAAATAATAAATGAATTTATGACTATGTTACAATTGAAAAAAGCTCTTCTGTAGAAGCTACAGAAATTAAATATATATATGGATTATTTATTCATTATTATACAGGATGACTGTCTTGTAAAGGTGTGGTATAACACTGATTGCTGGAAATCAGTAATTGCATCACAACATACAACACCAGAAATCACAGTGCAGGAACTCAGTTTTTCATTTATTTATCTGGTTCATCCTCGGTCTGTTGATGGTTTTTCATGGCGAAAGACAAGCAACTACATGCCTCGGTAAGAATAGCTACAAAGTAAATAACATTCAATAAATAAAAGTTGTGATTTCTTTACATTTTCATGTATATGGTTTATATATTGTAACTTATATTCTCTCTAGCATATGAGCCTGTGCACATGCACATTACTTATCAAACTTGTGCACACAGGCACACAGAACATTAAATTATTTCCAAATAATAATAATAAATTTAAGCACTATAAAACTCATGGCTCACGAGGACTCCTGCACAAGCTTGCTGTTTCAGTTTAACTGCATCAGCAAATTTGCTTGGTGTCACCTCAGTGCAGACTGAGTAGAAGCTCCTGGGAGGAAGCTTCTCGGTGCAGACTGAGTGGAAGATAATAACAACAGATGGATCATCATTTGGAACACAACACGCTAGATATCACAGTTGTTGAAAATCGAAGCATACAATTTATTGATACCGCTGTACCAGGAAACGCCAGAGTCAAAGAAAAAGAACTGGAAATAATCACGAACTATTGCGACCTGGCCATCGAAACTACGTGATTATGGATGAAACATATGACAGTGATACCCATTGTTATCAGGGCACTTGGCACCATGCCCAAGAATTTTACAAAATATATCAAGAAATTGCAGCTTCCTGCAATAAAACCAGTGGAACTGCAAAAAGCTGCGCTACTCGGAACATCGTACATCTTAAGAAGGTCCTAGGTCGATACCTAGGATGCTGGCAGCAACCCATATCAACCATCAGAGCCAGTCAATGATATTAGTGATACATTTTTAAATGTTCAGTTGACTGAGTTTCATGTTTAATGAATAAAAGTTTTATTATTTATTTATTTATTTATTTATTTATTTATTTATTTATTTATTTATTTTTATTTTATTATTTTATTTATTAAATTTATATCCCGCCCTTCTCCCCGAAGGGACTCAGGGCAGTGAACAGCCAAGAATTAAAATAACATGCAATATAAAAGTTAAAATAATTAAGAATAAATTAAATTAAACGGCCACCCCAATTTAAAACCCCTAGCAATACAATTAAAAAACCCTTAAAACCTATTCAGGCCAGGCCGGCTTGCTGAAATAAAAACGTCTTCAGGGCCTTACAGAAAGTGCGGAGATCCGGAATCAGCCGTATTCCGGGAGGTAGCTCGTTCCAGAGGGCAGGTGCTCCCACAGAGAAGGCCCTCCCCCTGGGGGCCACCAGCCGACATTGCTTGACCAACGGCACCCTGAGGAGGCCCTCTCTGTGAGACCGTATTGGCCGGTGGGAGGTTATCGGTAGCAGCAGGCGGTCTCGTAAATACCCTGGCCCTAAGCCATGGAGCGCTTTAAAGGTGAGAACCAACACCTTGAAGCGTACCCGGAAGACCACCGGGAGCCAGTGCAGCTCGCGCAGGAGAGGTGTTATATCGGAGCGCCATGTCGCTCCCGTAATCACCCGCGCGGCCACATTCTGGACCAGTTGGAGCCTCCGGGTGCTCTTCAAGGGGAGCCCCATGTAGAGAGCGTTAGCGTAGTCCAGGTGAGAAGTGACGAGAGCATGAGTGACTGTGCATAAGGAATCCCGACTCAGAAAGGGGCGCAACTGGCGTATCAGGCGAACCTGATAAAAAGCCGCCCTGGCCACGGCCGTCATATGCTCTTCTAAAGACAGCCGTGTGTCCAGGAGGACGCCCAAGTTGCGAGCCCCCTCTGTGGGGGTCAGTGACTCTCCCCCAATAGCCAGTGATGGCGCCAGCTGGCTATATCGGGATGCTGGCATCCACAGCCATTCGGTCTTGGAAGGGTTGAGTCGAAGCCTGTTCCTCCCCATCCAGACCCGCACGGCCTCCAGACACTGGGACATCACTTCAAGGGCATCGTTGGGGTGGTTTGGGGTGGAGATGTACAGCTGAGTGTCATCAGCGTACAGATGGCATCGCACCCCAAATCCACGGATGATCTCACCCAGCGGCTTCACATAAATGTTGAACAGGAGTGGCGAGAGGCCCGATCCTTGTGGCACCCCACAAACAAGGCGCCTTGAAGTCGACCTCTGCCCCCCTGCCAACACAGACTGCAACTGGTCGGAGAGATAGGACGAGAACCACCGCAACACGGTGCCTCCCACCCTCAATCCTTCCAGCCAGTGCAGCATGATACCATGGTCGATGGTATCAAAAGCCGCTGAGAGATCTAATAGGACCAGAACAGAGGAGCAACCCCTGTCCCGAGCCCTCCAGAGATCATCAACCAACGCGACCAATGCCGTTTCCGTGCTGTACCCAGGCCTGAAGCCGGACTGGCACGTGTCTAGATAGATGGTTTCATCCAGGTACTGCTGGAGCTGTTGCGCAACCACACTCTCAACAACCTTCACAATAAAGCGAAGGTTGGAGACAGGACCGTAGTTAGCCATAACAGCCGGATCCAGAGAAGGCTTCTTAAGGAGGGGCCTCACCCCCGCCTCTTTCAAAGCAGGCGGCAGAAAACCCTCCCCCAAAGAAGCATTTATAATCCTCTGGAGCCAGCCTTGCGTAACCTCCCGGGTAGCCAGTACCAGCCAGGAGGGACATGGGTCCAGTAAACATGTGGTTGCATTTAACCTCCCCAGAATCCTGTCCACAACCTCAGGAGTCACAGGATCGAACTCGTCCCAGATAACATTCTCAAGACCCGCCTCAGCCACCCTGCCGGAATCTACCCAGTCAGAGTCCAAGCCTTCCCGAATCTGAGTGATTTTATCGTGCGGATACTATGCAAAATCCTCAGCCTGCCCTTGCAAGGGGTCCTCCCGCGCTCCCTGATGGAGGAGGGAGCGGGTCACTCTAAACAAGGCGGCTGGGTGGTTATCTGCCGATAATATTATTATTATTTTCATTAAACATGAAACTCATTCAACTGAACATTTAAAAATGTATCATAAATACCATTGAATGGTGCTAATTGTTGATACAGGTGGCTGCCAACGTTGTTGTTATTAAAGACAAAAAAAAAGTCTGGTAGTGGATGTGGCAGTGCCTGGAGACAGCAGAATAGAAGAGAAAGAACTGGAGAAGATAACAAAATACAAAGACCTACAAATAGAAATAGAACAACTATGGCAAAGGCAAGCAAGGGTAGTACCAATAGTAATAGGAGCCTTGGGTGCAGTCCCAAGACAACTGGAGCACCACTTAAACACCATAGGCATTGACAAATTTGCCATCAGTCAATTTCAGAAGGTGGCTTTACTTGGAACAGCTTCCATCCTGCGACAATATCTGTGACACCATCAAACATCAAGATTTGCCTATCCCAGGTCCTTGATAAGGACTCAATAGATAGACAAAAATGCCAAACCCAATCTGAACACCTGACTGCAATTAATAATAATAGTAATAATAATGAGGAAAAAGTTGTTGAAAATAAGGTGAAGATATTGTGAGACACTTGAATACAGACGGATCGTCATTTGGAACACAACATGCAGATACCACAATTGTCGAAAACTGAAGTGTACAATTTATTGATGTCGCTGTACCAGGAGACGCCAGAGTCAAAGAAAAAGAACTGGAAAAAATCACTAAATATCACAACCTGGCCATCAAAACTATGCAATTAGGGGTGAAATGTGACAGTGATACCCATTGTACCCATATCATGTCCAAGAATTTTACAAAGTACATCAAGAAATTGCAGCTTCCTGCAATGACACCAGTGGAACTGCAAAAGACTACGCTACTCAGAACAACATACATTTTAAGAAAATACTGGCAGCATCCAGTATCAACCATCAATGCCAGTCAATGATATTTGAGATACATCTTTAAATTTTTAGTTGACTTAGTTTCATGTTTAATGAATAAAAGTATATAAAAAACTGCAATCCGGCATTAAAAATAAATAATGTTTCCATGAGATTTTTAAGCGTCTATTGCCCAAAACAAATGTATATGAAATCAAAGTATGTGGTATTGCAATAACTGAATAGGATTCAAAAATCCTCTTTCTGAAATTTATATTTTCTTTTTGCTTAACTTGGCTTTCCTTCCTAGTGGTGCTGTGTGTAATGTACTGCTGACCTGCTGCAAAGACAATATATGCCGCCTCTGGGCAGAAACTCTGTTGCCTAATGATAGCCTCTTATACGAAGGTGGATATAACCATTGGCCTGAGCCAGTGAAATTAAATAACTTTAAGAGGAATGCTTCTAGCAAAGAAAGCATGAAAAATGCCTTAGAGGTAAGAAGCGATATCTACCAGATATTAATAATTGATAAGGCCTGATTTGAACATTTAGTTTGAAAATGAGTTTTTATCTGTATTTTAAGACAGATAGCTATCCACCCCTATTTAAATGTAATCAGAGGGTTCTGTTCAGAATTGTACATACATATAGAAAATATTTTTCTGCATTTCATTATGTCATATGAACAATATATTCCTGGTCTCAACAGTTAAATCTAAGACCTTTCCGACGAGGAAGAAGAAGATCAATAGCACTTGCACATACTGGATACTTGCCCCATCAGCAAGACCCTCATGTAGTTCATCGAAACAGCCCATTGCAGTCAAATGCACTTTGCCATTTCCACATTGCTGCCAGCATCAATCCAGCCACAGGTGATAAAGAATAAGCAAACTTAATTCTAGGATAAGTGGGTTCAATTTAGATTTATCTCTATAAAGCACATTATACTTGGGAAGAGCCTTGGTGGTGCAGCAGACTAAAGCACTGTTAAATAACACCAGCTGCCTGCAATTACTGCAAGTTCAAATCTCGCCAGGCTCAAGGTTGACTCAGCCTTCCATCCTTTCGAGGTAGGTAAAATGAGGACCCGGTTTGTGGGGGCAATAAGCTGATTTTGTATAAAAAAGAACACCGCTTGGGGGGGGGGGCGAATGCCCTACTAAGCAGGTATATGCAAAAGTATGAAGGCTATTGCTTAACACATTGTAAGCCGCCCTGAGTCTCCGGAAAAGGGCGGCATATAAATCGAACCAATAAATAAATAAATAAATAAATACTATATTGTTTATAGATGCTAAAATTGTGCTGAAAAGAGAATATAATTTTAAAGTTGTAAAACAAAAATGTTGCTTTGAAAATTCTTCCTACTGCATCAGCAGTTATTAATAGTATTTATGATTGCATTTATTGTGAATTGTTTTTATTGTGATTTTATGGATGTTTTTAGTTTCATATATTGCAAGCTTCCTAAAGAGGAATTAATAAATATAAATGTGATTTGTAGCAATGATGATACCATAACATTCAGTAACTTTTGTTGTAAGTCTTCATACAGCTTCATATGAAGAATGCTGACAATTTGGTTTTTAAGGTAATTAGTGTTAATTAGAGTCATTATAGCAAATTGGTCTACAAAAGATCAGTAATCTTAGTTCTGCTAAACAGAGTATCCTGGTAAATTACTGATTAGTACCTGCTGCTGGAAAAGAAAATTATCTGTCCTGTAATTATATATATGTACCTTACTAAAGTAGTCACTAAAACCTAAAAATAATTTAAATGTGTGTTTCTGAATAGAATGTATATTTTTGTTTGTAGACATTCCCTTGCTCCCTTCTATCATGTCTCTGAGTCTTAATGAAAGTGAAGAAAAAAGTGGTCCTTTTGTAGTGCACTGGCTAAATAATAAAGAATTACATTTTACCCTATCAATGGAGGTTTTTTTGCAACAGTTTAAAAGAAATTTTGAGCATATTTCCTCAGAAGCCAGCACTGAAGAACCTAATCAGATGACTTTCAAATCTGATGAAGGTAAAATGGATATTTTTATCTTCTCTCACTGTTTTCCGGCTGCATGGAACAATGAATCAATACATGTACACTGGCTATTTTAGAATGTGGAAATATTCCCTGTGTTTTACATAGAATCTTATGACCTAGGCAGTATAAACATTTATGAATTATTTATTTATAGAACTTACAGGGATGCTTATATAATGATCCTAGGCATCTCAAAACTAATATAAACAAAACAACTCTTCCATCAGGTGGCAGATCAAATGCCTCTAAGCTCGACTTAGCCCATTGCTGGGGGGAAGACTAGATCTTCATAGCCTTCCAGAAAGTTAAAATATAGGAATTCTTTGCATGTCAGGTAGAAAGCTATTCTAAAGGGCTGGGGTGGCTACTTTGGATATATGCCTCCAGGATCCCATCAAGTGACACCATTTAATGGTAGAGATCTGGAGCATACCCACAAAAAAGCTGTCTGTGTGCTGTATAGAGCTTTAAAGGTAAAAAAACAAAATTATTGTAATTGGTCTATTAAAATTATATTAAAAATAATCTAGCATAGTAGTGGTTTTTCTAAGATCACTGATCAGCATTTTATTCAGTATTTGTAAGAGATTGCAAAGGTGCCTAAAGAAAATAAAAACGTAAATTTTCTGGAAGCTTAATAGAATTAAATAAAATAGTTCAGACTATTTAACAAATAGATAAAATACTAAAAAAACACAAATACTTAAAAATAATTGACTAAATCAGGGGTCTCGAAGGTTGGCAATTTTAAGACTTGTGGACTTCATATCCCAGAATTCCTCAACTGCCCAAGCTGGCTGGGGAATTCTAGGAGTTGAAGTCCATAAGTCTTGAAGTTGCCAAATTTGGAGATCCTGAGGCTAAATTATAGAAGTACATCATGAATAAAATACTAACATACTGATTAACTAAAGTACTAAGTGAGTGTCAATGAAACTTTATTATGGTTGGTAACAAGTAAGATGTAACAGAAAGGTAAAAATATAAATAGAATAATTTGATATATTTTTGAGGTCCAAAAATTATAAGATGTTTTCCTATGTTAAGTAATGGTGGCCAAAAGAAATTTTTTGGCTCTCTTGAAAATGTTAGGATTCTGGTCAAATAGTAAAAGCAAATGAGATGGTTCTTAGAAGAGGTGGAAATTCTTAGCAAGTGCAGTTAGGAATAAATATTCAATAGAAGGCAAATTCCTACACATTGTGGCTCTTTATGCAAACAAATATTAGCCTAACAAAGGATTTTATGAAATGAAATGTAACATTTTAAATTATATACCGGTAGTTATTTCAGGAAGAGTGTCTTAATCCTGTACTAGAAACCATATTTTTCGGAGTATAAGACGCACCTTTTTCCCCGCCTACCCACTGGCCCCCACCCTTTGCCTCTTTACCTCTGCCTCCCAGCAGTTACTTCTTGCAGCAAGAAGAAAGAAGCTCCTTTCAGCTTCAGCACAGCACAGTCTAATTAGCACAAGTTGATTGGATCGGCCTCCCGACTCTCAGCTGTTTTGCTCTCAACTGTTTTGTGCGGGCCTCTGCTGCTTGCTGCAAGGAGGTAAATTGCTGGAGCAGATTTTTTTTTCCTTATGCTAATCAAGCTATGCTGAAAACAAAAATGAAAGTAAAGCAGGTTGTTTGCTGTTTGCTGCAAGGAGGCAAAATTGCTGGAAGGCAGAGGCAGTTTTCCCTTTCTTGTTTTCCTCACCAAAAAAGGTAGGTGCATCTTATAGTCCGGTGCGTCTTATACTCTGAAAAATACAGTATAACTATGGAGATGTCTTTCATTAGGATTGTTTCAGAGAAGCTCAAAAAAGCTCTTTTACCCCAAGATTTAAGTATGTTTTTATATATAGATGTCTTCACTTTTTTTATATAGTTCTAGAAACTGATGACAGTAGAGAAGAACAGAGAAGAAATCAAGAACAGAAAGAATTTCCTGGTTTAAATTCAAACTCCATTCCCTTGTCTTCAGCTGTTATTGATCATGAAATTGAAATACAACTAGCTGAATGGAATAAAAATGCAGACATGCTATTTAGTATTCATCCTATGGATGGATCATTGCTTGTATGGCATGTTGATTGGCTAGATGAATACCAACCAGGCATGTTTCGTCAAGTACAGGTACTACAAATTTACAGGTACTATGTATTTAAAAATGTGATTGTTTTGGAAGCTTGACTTGAGTCTGAACTTTTTCTCTCTCTCCTTTTTAGGTGTCGTTTGTTTCAAGGATTCCTGTTGCCTTTCCTACTGGTGATGCAAATTCACTTTGCAGAAGTATAGTGATGTATGCTTGTACAAAAAATGTTGACCTTGCTCTTCAGCAAGGCAAACAAAAACCATCTAGCCTTGGTCGTTCCTGCTCTATGTTAATTTCTTCAGGTCATAGCAAATCACCCAACAATGTAAAACTAAGCATCTTCACCCCAAATGTTATGATGATTTCCAAGCATGCAGATGGATCTCTAAACCAGTGGCTAGTCAGCTTTGCGGAGGAATCTGCTTTTTCAAATGTTCTCAGTATTTGCCACAAATCACGATACTGTGGACATCGTTTCCACCTTAATGACTTGGCTTGCCATTCAGTACTTCCATTGCTACTCACAACCTCTCATCACAATGCAGTGAGGATACCAGTTCTTGATAGCACAGAAGAGGCATCTCCAAAATATCAAAATAAAAGTTCTGCCTGCACAACTCAGGATCTTACTGCAGTTTATAGTGAACTTATCCTCTGGAGAGTTGATCCAGTTGGCCCACTGTCTTTTTCTGGTGGTGTTTCTGAGCTTGCAAGAATAAATTCTCTTCACGTATCTGCTTTTTCAAATGTGGCGTGGTTGCCTTGCCTCATACCTAGTTACTGCTTAGGTGCGTTTTCTTTCTTATAAGTAAAATTGGTATACTTTATAGAAAATATACTATGATTGTACAACATTTACAGGAAATTATTGGCAATTCTCACATCAGGAACTCCTTTAAACCGCCTCTCTGAAGAATGTTCAGATATGTACAATCACATAGCCTTTATTAAGCTTTTGATATCTAAAAAAAAGCATAAGATGAAAGCATTGGAATTCTTTTTGTTAAGAGTTATATTTTTCTAATTGTCTTTAGGTGCGTACTGTAATTCACCAAGTGCTTGCTTTGTTGCGAGTGATGGACAACATTTGAGACTCTATCAAGCTATAATAGATGCCAAAAAGCTACTCTGTGAACTGTCAAATCCAGGAATTTCTGTAAGTTAAAGTTCAACTAGAGTTGTAATATTGCCAGTTAAATTTAGTTTACCTATCTGTTCATTTAACCTGAAGATTAATTTTGATTTATGAAAAATATTTTCTAATCTTAGGATCATAGAACCTCTGAAGAAACTACCATATCTTTTTCTTGAGTAGGATTGGTTTAAATAAATGGGGACTTGGGCAATGTTACATGAGTATATTATTTTAGGCATCTTAACCATACTATATTACTGCTGAACTATATAATCTATAAACCACCATCTTTGAAGTATGTTCATTATTATCATTTTTGGACTAAGAATATCCAAAATAAACTTACTAAAAAGTATTAAGTATTAAGTACAAGGAGAATAAATCATCTTAAACTTTTATTTCCCAGTTCCAATATTTCACTATTAGCAGAATTAATGTCAGTGTTCCATTTTTATGTATTAAACACAGACACTCTGAATAAAATACATTTTGATTTTTTTAAAAGACAGCAGTCTTACAATTGCTTAAACTATGAACTAAAAACTGTCATATAAATTTAATTATAATCATTATCAACAATAGTGGGTTTAATTATTTTTATTTCCCAGATTTGTTGCCTTCACAGACTTTGAACATTTAGGATAAAGTTAAATATGTTACATTGTGCCTGAATTAATTGCTTGTTTTAATTTTCATTTCCAAATTCCATCAAAGGTGGAAGTTTAATGTAGAGAAGGGAAGATGACCTGATACTCTTGGTGCCTACCAGGTCGTTAGTTAACTTGGTTTTTTTTTCCCGTCATAATACAAAAAGGAACAAATACAAATACAAAAGGAAGCTGTTATCAACAACCAGTATCATCTTTACTTATAAGAATCTCTATGGGGTCTACATCGGTCTCATTGCCATTCTTAAAAATTATATGCTCCATGAATGACTGGAGCTAAGGTTTTGAAGGTTATCTATCTATCTCCCTGCCCAAAATAACTCCGTAATGTTTTATTGAATTATTGCAATGTAAGCAGTTTGCCTTCCATTAAATGCATACTTTCTGATTTGGTCATATTAATACTGGCATTTATTTTGTAAAATCACTGTTATACTCCAAATATCCAGCTTAAAAATACTACACATCCTCATTGAAAGCTACTTGCTAAAAATTGCTTTGAAGGTTTTCTTTTTTGGTCTTTTCTCTCTCTTTCTAACACTATCTCTCTCTGGGCAAAAGCCTCTTGAAGGAGGTAATTTTTTAGGAATTAAAATTCCTAAATTTTATATTTTATATTTTCAATTTTGCTGTTGCTCGATGATGGGCAGTTCACAAAAATTAAAAAGTAACACAAAAACAAAATACAATAGAGAATATTGGAATATCCAGCAGTACCCCAATGACTATTAGAATCCATTGGAGATGAGTGACTATAAATTTAAATAAATAAATAGATTTTATAGCTTTCTGTTTATATTCAAGTAAAAAAAGTGGAAAATATAGTTTGTTCTTGTTTTTATAAGGTAAAATGTAATTTTACTTAATCTATATTTAATTAGTTGATTAAATATTCCATGATATGCAAAATACTTTATCCATTTTGATTCAGTTAAGCATTGCATACACAATACAAAGCAAGAACAAATACATTTTGAAAGTTACTTTTGTTGCTATAAGGAATTACTAGGTTGTTGGTACAAAAAGTAGTTCCTATTTATATAGTATGGCTAATTGTATTAAATAGTGAATCAATAGATCAAAATGAAGAAATTAATGAAATTAATATAATTACATGACAATTAATTACTGGCTTTTGTTACTAACTGCAGAAATACGTTGGCAAATTTTTTAACATCATAAGTCAGCAATCTACAGCTAGACCGGGTTGCATTGTAGAACTGAATTCTATTACAGAGCTGGTAAGATTTACTCATATATTATCTCATTATGCTTTATTTGAACTTCTTCAGTAAAATATTGATGAATAAAAGACAGCAAAAAACAATGTTAGCCAAATATTTATTGTTAGCCAAGTATTTAATATTTTATATCATAAACTAATTAATTTATTTTTATTGTATTTAGATTGTTGCCACTGTTGATTATATTTAAAATGTATCTGTTTTTAATTTAGCATGGTGAGAAAATGCAGCTACTTCATGTTTTTCAAGAAGATTTCATTATGAATAATAATGAGAATAGATTCTCAGAAAAAGAGTCAATACTACTTGATCCTGGTAAAGCATATACATTTTAAATCTTAAGTAAAATTTATTTTGTAATAAGCACTTTTGATTGTAGCTTTAAGTTTGTAGTAAAACAGTTAATATATTTTATAATCAGATACTGACATTTCTTTCCTACACTAAAATATTAATAATTTAGCGATACATACAAATACGACTTTTAGTTTTACCTGTTCTTTGACATGGGGAGGTGTTGATATATACAGTTTTATGCCTGAATTTAATTGTTTTGTTTCTGTTTTTAGATTTTATAACTTGAAATTTCTCTTGTTCACTGTGGGAACAGAAAGATAGAAATTTAATAATAATAAATATCTGTCAAAGGTTTTTTTTCTCCTAAATTCATTTTTATTCAAACGGCATAGAAAGAGAATCATGTCAGGCAAATATTACAAAGTTTAATATGTTATTCTTATGTAAAACTGTAATAATTATCAACAAGAAATAAAAAGCATAGGACTGAGCCTAACCAAATGGAAGAATGAGGCTGAATGAATTGCAGAGAGGATTGTATGACTTCTGATTACAAATTCAATATGTCATTGTTAAAAAATCCTTGAGTTTAAAAGAAAAGAATTTCCATGACAAAACAAAGTTGTCTTTCTGGGACAAATATCCATTTTTAATTGGTGTCTTGCAACATTAGTTTTATGTTTATGAAGAATTTATTATGAAGGAAACTTCAGAAGTTGTATTTTGTCTATAATCTGAAATAGTATAGTCATTTTATCTCTCTTACATGTGCTATACATTAGTCAAAGCCAAGAAGTATAAATAAGAACAAACAACTGATTTTCCTCTAAATGTAAATATAGTCATATTCTGTGCTGCAGGTTGCCACTGATAGTGTTTTTAAAATTGGTCCAGCAGCTCCTTTCTCAAATCGCATTGACTTCTGGACTAAATTAAACATAACATTGCAAAACCCCTTAAAGTAGTCCATGCATAGAACATATCATAATAATATGAACCATCTGTGAGGAGTTCGTATGTTTAATGAAGTTAAATTGTTTGATAAAGTTAAATCTGATAAATTTAACCTAATCTGATAAAGAACATAAAGTCCCATTGATACCTTTAGATTACTGTAGTTGCACCATTAGTTCCAAGAAGACTTTTGAATTATAAACTCTAGAGAACTGCAGCTTCTTTAAAAATCAATTTGCAAGACCTAGCTAAAACATACAAAAGAACCATAATAAATAGCTGGAGATGTTCTTAATTGCTGTGTTTTACTGAAAACTTTTTTCTTTTTGCAGGATATCAGGAAAATGGATTTTCTGAAAAATTCTATTTAATTGTAATTGAATATACTCAAAACTGCTCATTGTTACATATGTGGAAATTACATTTGAAATCCCTACCAGTCTCAGTGGGTATGTTCTAAATATTTGACAATATATGTAAGAATTTATACATTATGCTTCTTGATAATTGCAGGATAAATTCATTAAAAATTTATTGAATTTCTCAGTTCTATGTTCTATAATCTCTGAATTCTTTTTCAAATACAGATAAGTATGGTTTTTAGCTGTTCTTTGTCATTGTCTCATATTTTGACTACAGGCACAGGCAAATTATTAATAAAGTAAAATAATATTTCAAAACTCTTGTGTCTAAGACTAAATAGACAATGTATATACTAGCTTTTGGGTGGTGCACTAATCTATAAGAATTAGAAAGTAGAAGGATATTACAAGCATGTAGAATCCAAAAATGTCGATGAAACTTCCATATAGAAAGAGGTAGTAATAAGGTAGTAATTCTCTTTGTCATTGCAGTCAAAATTATTCTGCTTGAACCTTAATATTAATGAAGGACATGAACTAAATGCTAAGCTTAACATGTTTAATGTTTATAGCTGGTAAAATAGTTCTGTAGAAACATTAGATCCAGTCCATAATGCCTATAGCATGGAATATTGTGCTGGATACAAAAGAATTCATGCTAAAAGAGGTGTCATGGTTCAGATAAAGATCAATATGTCCTGAAAAATATTTTGCACATGAAAGGCAGACCATGTAAATATGAAATATTGTCTTTAGCAACTGGCTCACTCTCTGGTGCTGTTGATTTCTAGTGACTTGTAGAAAAATAGAAAATAGAAAAATATATATGTTTATATAAACATAGAATTTAGTTAATGTAATTTCAGAATATCTTGAAATTTCATAGAACAAATTGTATTTTAAATAAACATTAAATAAAATATCCCAATTTTTGTAGATGAAAAAATAGCTCCTAAGGCATCTGAAACAACATCTCAAGAACAACTGCATTCTTCTCCGGACCAAGAAAAGCTTCACAGTTCCTTTACAAAGAAATACCAAGTTTGCAGAGATAATCTTCAGAGTACCAGCCAATTAGTTCTTTCTTCAGAAATTGTCTATAGTCGAGAACTGAATTTACCAGAAGGAGTGGAGATAGTAAGCATTAAGCCATCAGCAGGTTTGTAAATTAAAAAACAAATAGGGCAGGAGGAAATTATGTACTAACTGACTTTCATTTAACTTTTCTTCAGTTTTTATTAAATCTTAATGGTAATTTGAAAGCCTAATATTTAAAGAAAATTGATATAAAAACAGCTATTAAACTGCGATAAAAGTTATACCATGTTACAACAGTAAACTTGGTTTTATAAACTATAGAGCACTAAGCTTTGCTCTTAGGTTCTGAAAAAAATGCTTGAAAATTTCATGTTTAACTCATTTTTTTCTCTGGTTAGTATTTTAAGGAGTTTTGTGTTTTAATCTTAGGTCACTTAAGTTCTTCTTCAATTTATCCAGTCCACCAAGCTCCTTATCTTCTTGCAACACTTTGCTCAGATGGGAAAGTTAGGTTTTGGAGGTGTAGAATGGCACAAGAAACAGATGTATTATCGAAACCAGAGAATACTAAGAACAGTGGTACGTATGTATGGGAAGAATGGCCATTGCTTATTGAAGATGGACATCTTAGTAGCAGTGCCCTTGAAGTGTCTGGTTTATCTCTTGAAATTAGCTGCGCTCATACAAATCGTTTAGCTGTGGCATACAAGCGAACACCACCCCAAAACAGTAATTCTCAAGATTTTTTTGTGAATGTCGGCATTTTTGAATGTGAATCTACAGGAAGCTCTTGTTGGAACTTGGAACAAACACTTCATTTAGATGAACTAAACCTAACATTGGATTCTCTGAATGTCAATAGTAGTTCAATGGCTTTAGGAAATAAGAACTTAATATTCAGAACAAAGCATTTGGTTCATTTAGACTGGATGTCTAGGGAAGATGGCTCTCATATATTAACAGTAGGCATTGGTTCAAAGCTTTATATGTTTGGTCAGTTGGCTGGGAAAATACAGGAACAAAGTGCTAAGGAAATGCTTGTACTGCCAGTATGGGAAAATGCTAAAACCGCTTGTACATCTAGATTTATACTGTTACGATGTGTGGATTTGGTCTCATCAGTAGAAGGTTCACCTCCTTTACCAGTTTCTTTGTCTTGGGTTCGTGATGGTATCCTTGTGGTTGGGATGGATTGTGAAATGCATGTTTATTCTCAATGGCAGCCATTTTCAAAGCAAGATCCCATTACTGCAGAATCTTACAGTGGTAGTACACCATCTATAACAAGTTTAGTTAAACAAAGCCAGTCTGGTGTTCCCCCGCTAAAGCGAACATTAACCCGATCTATGGCTAGCTTTGCTCAAAAACTTGGTGGGAAACGAAATATATTTGATCTGTCACTGGAGATGGAAGATTCTGGTCTTTTTGAAGCAGCTCATTCATTATGTCCTACTTTACCTCAGTATCATCCTGTGCAACTTTTGGAACTCATGGATCTAGGGAAAGTACGTAGAGCGAAGGCCATTTTATCTCATCTAGTCAAATGCATTGCTGGAGAAGTTATTGCCTTAAGTGACCCCTGCCATGAGAAAAGATATCGCTCTCTCTCAATCTGTGCTAGTGGGAGTAGTACAAGAGACCCTATGACATTTAACAGATGTGTAATAACAGACTATACAGAAATAGATTCTGTTCCACCGCTTCCTTTGTATGCATTGCTTGCTGCTGATGAAGAATATTCCTATGCTTGTACTGAAAAGTCAAATACTCCAAAGAACCTTAACAAACATGTGACTGATGAAAATTATGAGGATCTATTTCAAAATTCCAGCCTGTATACAGATGAACTGACTACAATTGAAGTAGATGAAGATGACAAAAAGCCAAAAGTTATTGATCTTTCTCAGTATAATCCAACTTACTTTGGACAAGAGCATGCCCAAGTTCTTTCTCGTCACTTGCTTCATTCTAGCTTACCAGGACTTACCAGGATGGAACAGATGCTATTGATGGCATTAGCTGATACAATTGCCATTACCAGTACTGATATAGGAGAAAGCAGAGACAGAAGCAAAGGTAAGTTTTATAATGACTAATCCAGGTTTTCTTTTTAACAGTCCTGCCTATACTTACTTAACTGAATTAATTAATCAATCAATCAATTGCAAACACTTCTAAACATTATTAGATGCCACTGTTAATACAGAATACATCAATTAATTATGAAGGCTATTGGTTTATAAGAAATTTAATGATACGCAATAGACTAAATTTGATAATTAGAACTGTAAGCCACCCAAAGTCACTGATTGAGATGGGTGGGTATAAAAATTCCATAAATAAATAAAATAGTTTGAGTTGGGAAGTACACAAGGAAAATTAATACTATATTTTATTTCCATAGTTACTGTTATTTTTTAGAATTAAGTTTACTACTTCCTAGGAAAGTATTTTACCCAGTGTACAAATAGAAACATTTTGCTTAAAGGTTTGAAGTTTGAAAGTTAGAAGAATTACCTCTTTTTCTATATGGACTGGCAAATTTCCATATACTGCAATACTTATGGGGAAACCATTAGCTTCACAGCAACATTTTCTTCTGAATTTAGTAATATGGATCTTAAATAAAAAAAATACTGTAGGGCTCTATTTGTCTGCTACAATGATGTTACTTAATATTATGTTAATTCTTGATTGCTTTAAAATCCATTATAGTACATAAATTTGTTACCCATTCCCTATATTGTGAAACTATGCCGAACAAGTACGACTTAAATATATATGAATAATGGAAAATGTGGCAAATAATTATAGAGTTTTGTTTAAAGAGTTTCATTTTATAGATTAAATCTCATTCATAGGAGGAGAAACACTTGACGAATGTGGTTTGAAGTTTCTTTTGGCAGTTCGTCTTCACACTTTTATGACAACTTCTCTGCCACCTGCTCACAGAGCTCAGCTATTATATCAAGGTAAATATTTTCTTCACTCTTTGTGAGACACTAATGCAAAACAGAACAATATTTTAGATATAACTAGGATTGTTTCTGAGGAAATGTGAGCTTTGGAAATGGAGAAACTTTGGCATAGTGCTGATAATCAAGAGATGCACTGAACAATTGAATACTACAGATTTTTCTAACTGTTTTTGTCTATAGGATAGCCTCATCAAGTCTCTGTGTGTATAGATGTATTTTTAAATAGTTAGGTACAGGGATCTAAGTTTTTGTTTTATTTGTGGCATACAGACTTAATAAATATTTTGTGTTTTACAACATTTTAAGTGTAGCTATTTACAAGTCATTACTCATACAAATTATGACAACATGATTTTTTTGTATGTTACTTCATGTTACCAACTTTTTTTTTAAAAAAGCATCAGAAAAAGAATCACTAAATATTTTTAAGGTAATTTAGTTATCAATTATAAAGTAAATTAAATAATTATAAAGTAATTATTTGTGATTATTTCAGGTTTGTCTTCGAGTCATTTTGCCTGGGCGTTTCACTCTATTGCAGAAGAAGAACTTCTAAACATGCTTCCTGCAGTACAGAAAGGTGATCCAACATGGTCAGAGCTCAGAGCTATGGGAATAGGATGGTGGGTTCGAAATACCCATAATTTGCGCAGATGCATTGAGAAGGTAAAGGCAGTTTGTAACAAACTATGAGTTGATTTAACTTATTCTGTGTATTAAATATAAATTATTTCATTAATTGCTCAAAATGTCTCTGGACATAATTATGACAAAATACTACATTTGAAACCACAAAATTTACTATTATCCTTTCAGGTCGCTAAAGCAGCCTTTCAAAGAAACAATGACCCTCTTGATGCAGCCATTTTCTATCTTGCAATGAAAAAGAAGACTGTAATTTGGGGACTATACAGGTACAATTTTAAAGCAGAATTTGTAATTCAACATATATTGCAACTAGTTTTTTTGCATTCCTACTGCTTGATAGAAGTAGCAGACATTCCAGTAGTATCTAAAAGACATTAAGGAGCAACATAGAGCAAATGAGAGAGAGAGAGAGAGATGATAGATCTATCGAGAGAGAGAGAGATCCTTAATGTCCTTTATGTATTATTGGAATACCTCCAAAATTTTTCAGAGTCCTAAATTTCTCGTTCCTTGAACTCAAATTAGCTTATATTTACTACATAATTTATATCAACACTACTGGGCCCCTTTCAAGGATAATATAATATAACATAACTTCCACATTTTTACTTGAGGCTGTACTTTTGTGGTCATCTAATAGAAATATAGAATAATAAAAGGAAACAACTGGATATAGAGGTTCAACTAAGGCATAGGCCCGTGTTGGCAAACCTATGGCACACGTGCCGGAAGTGGCACGCAGAGCCATGTTGCTCAGCATGCATGGTGTTGCCCATTCTTCTTCCAGGTTTCTAGGGCACGCATGCGCGCCCGCCAGCTAGTCTGCTGGTTACTGATGCGCATGCACGTGCGATGATCAGCTGGCATTTAACATCTTAGTGCGTGTGCGCACCGTCCATGCCATCATTGCCCGCATGGAGCCCCAGGATTCCACCCTTTGCCAGCCAGGAGCGCTACCGCCAGTTGCTCCCATGCGCCCGGATGCCTGCCTGCCTCATCAGCACCACCATGAAGAAAGGCCCCGAAGTTGCGCTGTCTGAGATCCATGTGGGCTGCCGCAGGGGGAGGCCAGGTAAGGCTGGCTGGACGCTACCCGGAGCTGAGCTCAAGGCTGGCAGGAGGAGGAACATTGCCTCTTAGCCGGCACGAACTTTCTGCTGCCGTAGCCTGCCACCATCCCCTCTCCCCCGACAGCTCCTGCCACTGCCACGCAAAAACCACTGCCAAGGGGGGCGAGGGGGCAGTGGTGGCAAGGATGGGTGGTCCGGGACTTCCCTGTCTATGCAGACTTCTGGCATAGCCCCAGGCCTCCGGAGGGAGGGAGGGAAGCCCCGGCATGTGCTCCTGCCGCTGCCATTCCCTTGCCCCAGGAAGAACGGTTCTCATGCTGCCGCTTCTCTGGCAGCACCAGAGGTAGCACCTTTCTGCCAGGGTAGAAAGGATGAGAGCAGGCTGTGGTGGCAGGCCGTTCTTGCCAGGTAACAGACAGACTGCTCCTGGAGCAGGCAGGAGAAGGAGAAGCCACCCACGGGGAGGCGAGCTGCCCCAGGAAGACTGGAGGAGAGCACAGTTCCTTACTCATGGAGATCCACTGGCGGGGAAGTGGTTGCGGAAAGCGATAAGAAGTGCGCGAGCCAGGAAGCGGTTATGCTCCCTGGCCGGAGAGGGTTGCACGTTCCGCCAGCAAAGGTTTGTGCAACCCTCTCCAGCCAGAGAGCATGACCGCTTTCTGGCCAGCACACCTCTTACTGCGACCACTTCCCCACCAGTAGATCTCCATGAGTGAGAAGATGCACTCTCCTCCGGTCCTCCTGGGGGGGCTCGTCTCCCTGCTGGCAGCTTCTCCTTCTCCTGCCTGCTCCAGGAGCAGTCTGTTTGTTATCTGGCAAGGACGGCCTGCCACCACAGCCTGCTCCTGTCCTTTCTCAGGAGCAGCCTGAGACTCTGCTTTCCTTAGCAAAGCACTTCATCATTGCAGTGCAGGCGCCGGGGGATCCGTGCAGCTAATAACCCACCCCTCCTCAGCCTCGGTCACGCCGCAAGGCTGTAACTCGAGGAGAAGACGGAAAGGGGGGGGAGTCCAAACTGAAGGTACCTCGAGCAAGCCGCAGCGCTATTACGCAGGGCTCCGAGTGGTTGGAGAAGAAGCAGAAATAGCATCCAGGGCTGTACTTTCAGCGGGTAAGCAACACTGCGTCTGCTGTGAGAAACTTTGGGCAGAGAGGGCGGGAGCAGGCTGTGGGAACAGCCTGTCTCTTAGCTGGCGAGAACTGCGAGCTTCTCCGGCAGCATGAGAACCGCTCTTGCTGGGGGCAAGGGAGTGGTGGCAGCAGGAGCAGCAGGCCGGGGCTTCCCTCCCTCCCCCGGAGGTCTGGGGCTATGCCAGAAGTCTGCTCAGGCGGGGAGACAGGAAAGTCCCAGACTGCCCTTAAAATAACGACTTTCCAGGCCCAAAATGGGGTGGGGGAGCGAAGTGCATGTGCAGGGCGCGCATGCATGGGGGGGTCGTGTATACATGTGGGAGGGTTCGCATTGCATTATGGGTGGCACGTACGCAAGCTGTTGCGCGCGCACATACATGAGAAAAAGGTTTGCCAACACTGGCATAGGCTATCTGCTATCTAGCCAGATATGAGTCACCAGATACAAAACAGAAACAGAATAATACTCAGTGATATGAAAGTGATTGCTTTTGAGGAAATCACTTGTTGTACATGATATTGGGTTCATAAAACAATTCAAGTGATAAATAAATACTTAAATTTGGATTAAATTTTTGGATTTTAAAACAATATAAAAGAAGGGAATGGAAAGACATAATTGAATGTGAACTCCCATGCTCTTAAAGATCAGAATATAGGGGTTTTGTTTAACTGGGCAATTCTCCCAGTTTCAAAATCTTTTATCAAGTAGTTTGTAATTACTGAAAGTTTGAGAAACATTATTTTATGTGCCTTATTTCAATATCTTCTGATGGCTTATTTTTGACATGGCATTTATCTGAGCATATTATTGTATCATAAGCATAGCACCCAAGTTAAATATTGGCCATTTCTAATTGCACATGTAGAATTTTAGCAGCAACTTGGTTTTTAAAATATGCCATTTGGAATCTAAGAGCATGTGTTTCTTTGATAAATATAATTTTTTCAGTTTTTTCTGAAACTGTACATTGTACATTGTGACAATAGTTATAAATGATTACATTGGCAGGTCTCTAAAAGATACTAAAATGACACAGTTCTTTGGGAACAATTTTACTGAGGACAGATGGCGTAAAGCAGCACTGAAGAATGCTTTTTCATTGCTAGGCAAGCAACGTTTTGAACATTCTACAGCATTTTTTTTATTGGCTGGCCACTTAAAAGATGCCATTGAGGTAACTAATATGTTTTCTTCAGAAAACCTTATTGAAAAATATTACAATGCATCTAATAATGTATTTACACAGACCCAATGTTTTAAGAGTACAAGCAGATTTGAATGTTATGTTGAAGTCCAGGTATATGCTTAATAGCATCCTCTAAATATGGTTTGGTCAGATATGAATATAAATATGTAGTACACTTAAACTGATTGAAAATAGGAATAACCTTGTCCAATGTCTATACAAAACAAAAGGAGAATAGAACACTAAAATATGTTTTAATACATAATGGAGAAATTTTCAGTTTAAGGAACCCTAGTGGCTCAGTGATTAAAATGCAGTATTGTGGGCTAACTCTGCCCACAGCCTGAAGTTTGATCGAGGTTAACTCAATCTTCCATCCCTCTAAAGTTGATAAAATAAGTATTCAGGTTGTTGGGGACAGTATGCTGACATTGTAAATAGAGAGTGCAGTATATAAGTCTTAAGTAATATTGCTATAGGCTGAGTATAATCATGGTCCTTAAGTAAGCCCATGTACTCTTTAACTGCTATATATGAAAAAGCTGAAAAACAGGGTTTTGAACATTTTCCTTATGAGAAGAGGAGAAATTCATGAAGGACAGATTTATCAAAGGCTATTGGCCTTGAAGATGCAATGTTATCTTTAGGCTGTAAGCATCATGCCCCAAAAGCCAGTTATAAAGGAACAACAGCAACAGAAGGTTAAGCCTCCATATTATTTGTGTAAATATGCCAGAGGTATCTGGATGGCTGCATACATAATAGGGCTGTGTTTCTTATTTCTGATTGGATCTTTTTTTTAAAAAAAAAAATCCTTTGTTTATTTTAATTAGGTCTGCCTAGAGAAATTAAATGACATTCAGCTAGCTCTTGTAATTGCACGACTCTATGAATCAGAATTTGAAACATCTGGTACTTACAAATCAATTCTTCAGAAGAGAATTCTGGGAAGTAAGCCTCATTCCACTGAAAGTCCATTAAAACCACATTTTGATCCTTTTCTCCGAAGTATGGCTTACTGGATTTTGGAAGAGTATGGTCATGCTCTTGATACTCTTTTAAGCCATCCCACTTTGAATGATGAAGGTAAACTGAGACAATTTAGATCTACTTTTGGAATGTGTGCATGTTATATTTAGCCTTAAATTATTAAATAAACTCTTCTAGTAGTAAGTAATATTCTACATATTGTCCTGGGTGGTTCTCATGAATGGTGAAGAACCGTGGCCTCCAAACCAACTAATGGTGATTTTGAAATGATCAAGTGTTATCTAAATGAAGCATACTACTAGAAGCACAAAACACTGTAGGTGCTGATTTGTTTTTACTATGTCACAGTGTTCTTCCAAAGCATTATCTTGAAGCTTTCCATGATTATTACAACAACGAATGTTAAGGAACTATATTTTTATATTACAACTATATAGTTGTGATGGAATAAAATATATGTGATAGAGGAAAAAGGCTTAAACATTTCATGATAATTCATTTTGCCATGTTAAGAAGTAGAGTAGACATGCTGAACAAGACAATGATTAGAATTTTTTGTGTGTTTCCTTAGGGTATAAATGTGTCATAATATTGACAGCAAGACAACATCTAAATTATTTCTTTTAGAAAATAAATTCTTCATTATTTTTTCATGTGATATCTTTCTAGATGAAGGAAGCTTCTCAAACTGTAGCCCTTCGGTATTTAATTTTTATAATTATCTAAGGACGCATCCTCTCTTGCTGAGACGCCATTTTGGGTCTTCTGATTTATCTTCCACAAGGATATGTGTAACAGGAGAAAATGGGCTGGCAGATGAAATCAATTTAGAGGAACGAAAATTATTCTTTACTGCAGCATATACTCATTTGAAGTCTGGCTGTCCCATGTTGGCTTTAGAAGTATTATCAAAGATGCCTAAAGTGGTCAAAAAGTCAAAGTGTTTAAGAAGAACATTAAGTTTAAGGAACACTAGTAAAGAATGTTCACCCTCTTCTCCAATGCCAGTAGAATCTAAAGATGACCAGTTTTTCAGGACTAACAGGTCAGAACCAGTGCTAAATGGTTTAGGATCATTATCAGATGTTTCACCAGACAGACATTCAGATTCTGATGCTTTGTTTGATTGGAATCAGCCAGCTGCAGTCTTACAAGATGACCCATTGGAATTAAAGTGGGACAGTGACAAAGATGAGGAAAGTGAGGATTCTTGCCTTGTAATGAAACCTTTGCAGCCCAATACAGGTGAAAAAACAAATGAAGTTAGTTCTAGCTGCACTGAAACGTACAGTTCAGGAGGTGAAAATGATGTCTTAGTTTCATCAGAAGACATAATTTGTGTACAGCTGAAATTTAGGGCATGCCTGAAGATTCTTACAGAGGAACTTCGAACATTATCCACGGGCTATGAAGTAGATGGTGGAAAATTAAGATACCAGTTGTATAATTGGCTTGAAAGGGAGGTGGTAGCCCTTCAGAAGACATGTGAATACAATACTGAAGCAGATGATTCTCAGAGAGAAATTATCCCAGTAATGGGTGAAAATTCCTTAAGTGAAAGAGCTGAAGACTTGTCAGATATACAACTAAAAGAAAATATTCAAAGAAGACACTGGCTTATAAAATACCAATCACTTTTGCGAATGTTTCTTAGTTATTGCATCCTCCATGGGTCTCATGGTGGAGGCTTGGCATCTGTACGAATGGAACTGATTTTGCTTCTGCAAGAATCTCAACAGGTAAATAGAAGATTTTTTTTCCTGATTGATTGGGCTTGGGCTTAAATATCAATACATAATAATTTAAATAAATTACTAGCAAACTATTTTTAGCTTATGCGCTTATATCAATTTGATCAAATCTTTCTGGCCCTACATCTAGAATGCTAGATTGTTTTGAGCTATATATTTATAATTTTGTTTTCAGATAAAAACCAGGAAAATTCTAGATAACTTTTTCCTCAATAAAAAGTTTCTAAGTTCATGCTTCCAGTATTTGAACTTTCAGCTTCCTGATAATGAAAATTGAACTGGAAATTTGAAAAATAAAGAAGCTTAGTAGAGCAACTAATGGATTGAAACCTTGGCCTAGAAAATTCAAAGTTATGCTGCCTATTAGTCACTGGGCCAATACTATTGATCCTAGACTTTATTGCAACTTAAACAAACATTTTTCCACAAAATAAACCCTGGATTACTTGTTTTTGTCCACCTTTAGTGGCATTTTTGGATGAGAAAGGAGAATAATTATTTCAATTAACATTGTGTCAATATGTATGTGTGGGTATAGAAGAAAATTCATCTTTGTAGGAAATTTGAAAGTCAAATTATACTCTTTATTTTTCATCCTTTTTATAAAGGAATTTTCGGAGCAATCGTATAGTAATATTGTATCTGAGCAGAGCACAATACCTCTTCTTTTTGCCTGTACTGCAAGTGCCAAAACGGTGGTGGCCAACCCATTATTGCATCTTAGTAACCTGACACATGATATACTACATGCTATTATTTCTCTTGACTCTCCACCCCACCCAGAGGTACAGAACAATAAGGCAAGTATCTATAATTTGACAGTATTTTACTGAACTTTTTAAAAAGATTTTTATTACATTACTTGCTGTAATAATACAGCCATATTAATATTTATATATATATTGGAAGTTGTTTATTTTATGTTTAAATGAATAGCCCTCTAATATCTTGCTTGAACAAGTAAAATAAAAACAAGGTATTCAAGATCATATAAATAATTTTGTCTGAAATATGTCTTTCTTCCAGATACAAGTAATGCACACATTAGCAGCATCTTTATCAGCTTGCATATACCAGTCTCTCTGTGGGGGTCATAACTACAGGTATATATATATTATTTTTTACAAAAATAAGTTTTTTGGCACAATGAGAACAACATTTTTATTTTTCCCTTCTGTGAGGTAGAATCAAAATCTGGTATAAAATGCACAAAATGTTACCTCCTATCTATATCTTAGTTTGTACGGGTAGTACTCGACTTACAACAGTTCATTTAGGGACCATTCAAACTTACAATGGCAAAAATTGTAAATGAAAAAAGTGTCTTGTGACCATGTTTCATACTTACGACCATTGCAGCATCCCCATGTTCATGTGATTAAAATTCGGATGCTTGGCAACTGGTTTATATTTATTACTGTTGTTGTGTTTCAGTGTCATGTAATCAATCACCTTTTGCAACCTCCTGACAAGCAAAGTCAATGGGGAAGCCAGATTCATTGAACAATTGGGTTACTAAGTTAAGAATGTCACTTAACAACTGTGACAAGAAAAGTTGTAAAATGGGACAAAACTCACTTAACAAATGTCTCACTTAGCAAATGTCTCACTTAGCAACATAAATTTTGGGCTCAATTGTGGTCATAAGTTGAGGACTACCTGCATTCTTCAAAAATGGGGTTAGTTATTCTCTGATAATCTAAAGTACTAGGACCTCAATATAAGAAAGGCTATAATACATTAGTACCATGGTTGATTTATGATATGATATTCATTAAAGATTATTACCATTATTATTGCAATATCTTCATCTCCAGATTACATTTGTATAGTTCGGGAATCCATACTTTTTGACATAAATTTGTATTTAACTAACTATAATACTGATAAATACATTTATTTTACATTGTTAGGTTAATCAGAGTCTACTCAGCTAATATTAAATTGGCTAACTCAGTTAAATTAGAAATATAAGAAAGGTGACAAATTCTTAGATCAGACATGATAAGCAACTGATTAAAACAAACTATAGCTTTTTAATGAGGTAGATCTGATTTGCAGATATCCAAAACTGATTGTTTTATTCTTAATTATACTTCGCTGTTTCCTGATCACCTCTGATAACATCATATTACTTGTATTAGAAAACATTATGTATCTGAGAATTGGCAAACATGTAGAACGATCTTTATTCTATTCCTAGTTTCATATGATAAAGTTGAAGAAATTGCCCGAAAGATGAAATAATTATATCGCCAGTACAGGGTTATGTCTACTCACATAGTTTGAATCTGCTTATTAATTGCTATTGCAGAAACAAGGTTTAGAATTCATACATTTTAAGCAAACATATGAGCAGGGAAAAATACTTTTTTTTTTCTTTTTATGACGTTTCACAAAGCAGTATGGACCATCTTATTAAATATTTCCTTTAAATCTGCTTTTTTTTCAGTATGATCACTCATAAGAAAGTTAAGATTCTATACCATAATTATGAATAACATGAGCAAATATTAAGACAACTTTGGATTCTTTTATATCTAATATTTTGACACTTTCACAAGAGATTTCATGAGATTTAGTATTTTGAAGGTCATTTAGGCTGTAATGTGAGAGCACATTTGATGCAGTGGTTAAAGCATAAGGTAACCAGGATACCATGATTTCTGATGTAAACTGCCATGTAAACTTCTCCAGGCAGTCTCCAAGAACAATTGAACAGGGAAAAAATAGCTGCCATGTAACTCTGAGACTAGTTGTCAGTATTTTAGGGTTCATGAAAAATAAATCTGTGTATTGTAGAACCATCCAAAGTCTTATCTCTACATGCCATTTCTAGTGCTATGTAATTATCTTTCTCCATAAAGAAGCAAGGAAGTCCAAAAATTACGTCATATACTTTTTGTTTCTGAATGTTAAGTTTACCTGATCTTAGTAATAGTATTAAATAACTAATGTATTTAGTAATCAATAAAGCTGACTTTAAATATCAGGTCTCATAATAACAGATGACAATGCAAAATTTTTATAGCTTTTCAGCAGCTAATGTTATTAATGCTCTTAATTAGAATATGTACAGTTGCAAGAAAAAGTATGTGAACCCCTTGGGATTATGTGGAGTTTTGCATGGATTGGTCATAAAATGTGCTCTGACCTTCATCTAAGCCACAACAATAGAAAAACACAGTCTGCTTAAAATAATACTACACAAACATTAGATGTTGCCATGGTTTAATGGAACATAACATGTAAACATTCACAGTGCAGGGAGGAAAAAGTATGTGAACCTTTGGTTGACCGTCCTTTGACAGCAATAACCTCAACCAAACGTTCCCTGTAGTTGCAGATCAGACCTGCACAACGACCTGGAGTAATTTTGGACCACTCCTCTTTACAAAACTGTTTCAATGTAGCAATATTCTTGGGATGTCTGGTGTGAATCGCTCTCTTAAGGTCATGCCACAGCATTTCAATGGGTTGAGGTCAGGACTCTGACTGGGCCACTCCAGAAGGCGTATTCTGTGCTGTTGAAGCCATTTTTTTGTTGAATTTACTTGTATGCTTTGGGTCATTGTCCTGTTGCATCACCCATCCTCTGCGGAGCTTCAGTTGGTGGACAGATGGTCATACGTTTTCCTGCAAAATGTCTTGATAAACTCTGGAATTAATTTTCCCATCAATGACAACAATCTGTCCAGGCCCTGAGGCAGCAAAGCAGCCCTAAACCATGATGCTCCCTCCGCCATGTTTTACAGTGGGGATGAGGTTTTGATGTTGGTGTGCTGTGCCTTTTTTTCTCCACACATAGTGTTGTGTGTTCTTCCCAAAGAATTTTGGTTTCATCTGTCCACAGTATATTTTGCCAGTAGTGCTGTGGAACATCCAGGTGCTCTTTTGCAAACTTCAAACGTGCTGTAATATTTTTTTGGGACACAATGGCTTCCTCCGTGGTGTCCTCCCATGTACTCCATTCTTGTTTAATGTTGTCCTTATTGTAGATGTGTCAACAAAAATGTTAGCATGTGCCAGAGATTTCTGTAGGTCTTTAGCTGACACTCTAGGATTCTTTACCTCATGAAGCATTCTGCGCTGTGCTCTTTAAGTCATTTTTACAGGACGACCACGCCTAGGGAGAGTAGCAACAGTGCTAAACTTTCTCCATTTGTAGATAGTCTGTCTTACCGTGGACACATGAACATCAAGGCTTTTGGAGATAACTTTGTAACCCTTTCCAGCTTCATGCAAGTCAACAATTCTTGATTATAGGTCTTCTGAGAGCTCTTTTCTGCGAGGCATGGTTCACATCAGACAGTGCTTCTTGAAACCAGTAAACCCAAAACAGGTGTGTGTTTTTAAAGGGCAGGACAGCTGTCAGCAACACATCCAATATCATCACACTGATTGGAGTCAAGGTTGGCTCACTCCTGGCTCCAATTAGCTCTTGGAGAAGTCATTAAGCTAGGGGCTCACATAACTTTTTCCTCCCTGCACTGTGAATGTTTACATGTTATGTTCAATTAAACCATGGCAACATCTAATGTTTGTGTAGTATTATTTTAAGCAGACTGTGTTTTTCTATTGTTGTGACTTAGATGAAGTTCAGAGCACATTTTATGACCAATTCATGCAAAATTCCATGTAATCCCAAGGGGTTCACATACTTTTTCTTGTAACTGTATGAAATAGTTAAGCTAAGTAAATCGTGATTGACCATTATATTCAATCAAAATACCATAATATTGATTTTTACAATTTTGGGTTTTTTTAAATAGTGTATTGCAAGCAAACCAATTCACTGGAATGATTTATCAGACATTGTTGCTCTCTCATCGGCATTCTCTAAGAACAGCAAGTTCAGATGAAACAGTAACACCAAATACTACACCAGCTCAATGGCCAGGTAATCAAGATTTAATTTTCTTCATGCAGTTTTGAATTGTTTGGCTTCTTTGAAGTACAGTATATTGTTCTGTGTTACAACAGGGAGTTTAAAATAGTTTCTTTCCTTTTTCTTCTTCTAATATGACCCTCTGGCTATTAGTTGTTTTTTCTTCCACTTTATATTAAATATAGTATTAGGTAACCTCATGCTGATTAATTATCTTTAAAAATTAAGGCCCACCCACCCATTGATGGGCCCATCCATCTTCAATCTTGGTAACTTCCAGATTTGTGGATTTTGACTTACAGAATTCTTACTAAAGGTCATACTGTTTGGGAGTTCTGGAGGTTGGTTCAGACATCTGAAGTTGCCCCTTATAGTATTATACCCTTTATAGTATTATAGTGTTTCTGGAGATAATTGAAAATGGCTTCTCTTGTCTTTCTTTGTATGTAATTTATCACTAAATGGCACTTCTTGTCTATTCAGGAATAATGGATTTAATACAATTGCTGAATCAAGCTGGGGAAGAAGCTCAGTCTGGGATTACAGTTTTGCTCTGTGAAATTCTTACTGCAATCTACCTTAGTCTCTTCATTCATGGTCTAGCAACACATTCCAGCAATGAATTATTCAGGATTGTGGCCCATCCCCTTAATGACAAAATGTGGTTTGCTGTCTTTGGTGGTGGTGCAAAGATTCCCAAGAAAGGACCAATTCAAGAAACAACCAAGATGGGTTAGTACATTCCTTATTTTTTTCTGTATGTAAATATTTACTGAAGTCAGTTTTTTTTTTTAGTTTTTATACTGTGTATGTTATCAGTGGTGTGGTGGCTCAGCAATTAACATGCTGGGCTTGTTGGCTGGAAAGCAGGCAGCCTAGGTTCGAGATCCGAGCTCCATGTGATGGGGTGAGTTCCCATCCTCGCCCCCAGCTCCTGCCAACCTAGCAGTTCAAAAGCATGCAAATGCCAGTAGATAATAGGTACCTCTTCAGTGGGAAAGTAACAATGCTCCATGACATCATTCTGGCCACATGACTGTGGAAATGTATTTGGACAGCGCTAGCTCAATGATCTTGAAATGGAGATGGGTCCTACCCCCTATAGTTGGCAATGACTAGCAGAGTAAAATCCGCAAGGACATATTTTTATGTTACCATACAGTGACAAGAGTTCCTATATAATACTAAAACCTTAATTATCATTATATACATGAGCAGAAATATCATTACATAAAAATTGAACTTTTGTATTTTGTGTATCCATCTCTTTCTTCCAATTTAAGGAAAGAATAAACTAGAATTTGGTTTTATTTTATTGAAGTGTTGATTTATTCCTTTTGAACAAGAAAATAAATGTGGAAAAAAATTCTGAGTAAACAAGTTGGGGTGTAAGATATATTGCCTCTTTCTGGCTTGTTTAACAATGACAGTATTAGAATTTTGTGGCGGGGGTTGGGGGTACACATATACAAGTAAAAGAGTGAAAAATCAGGTTCCAATACAGGAGGATTACTATTAGTGCACATAGCTTAATGTATATAATATTCCTGTTGTCAAAAAATAATATAACTTCACTTTTCATGCATGCCTACTGAGGGGAATACACTTCCCTATATTCAGGAATCTAGTGCAGCAGTAAATTATTCATAATTTTAAAATAAGCAAAATTGTTTCCTTATGAATGTATAATGCATACATAAAGAGTCCTAAATAAATTTGAAAAAGGTTCTGTTTGGAAAATTAAAATAATTTTCTGTTTGTAACTTTGTAATGTTGACAAAATACTGGTTGAACATTTTTTTAAAATGTTGAAAAGTTTGTTTTCTATTATGTATGACAGCAATATTCTATCTAAGCGTAGTCTTATGTTTTCTCTCTTTGGCAGGTAGGCACTTCTCTATGCCTAGCCCACATCAGGTAGTAGTATTTTCTATGGAATGCGTGGGGTTTACCAAATCTCTAACAACCATCAATACTCATAGTCCTACCAAACTTGCAGGCAAGATGCTAGCTTCAGTTCTAGGCATTTGAATCTAGTGTTGATATGTGATGTGACCTTGCATAAAAAAATAATCAAACAAAAACAGTCTCTTTGTAAGTCATGATCTCTGATTTGTGGTTCATTATGTCAGAAAATTTAATCAAAATTTCAACTATTACAAATCATGTAGTTGGTTATTTTCATACTAAATTAGTTTTAATAATGAAGGAAGACCATGACTTGCAATTATGAGAAATATTTCAATATATTTGTGTCCATCGAGCTACTTGTTTGTGTCACATGACTGTATGCATGTGGCTATGAATTTTTATTAGTTCAGCATAAAAATAATTTTTAATGAAAAAACATTTATTAATTGAAGATTAGTGTAGACTACCAAATAATAACATAATAGCATTTACAAATAATAGGCTTATACAACTGATTTTATTTTGATTATAATTAGATATGTAATTAGCAAGTCTTGACACCAAATGATCTTGGGAGAGATCTCCAGTCTATAATCTTGTATTGAATATTTTTACTAAAGTAAAAATAATATGAAATGTGTACAGTTTCAACACTAAATGTATACATTTTAAATAGAAACTGATGTCAGCTTTCTATATGGGTTTAGATGAAATCACGATGAAATACATAAAATTGATTTCAGTGAAATTCAGATAAAAGAAATTAATCTGTTAATAGAGTTTCTTTGAACTGTTTCAGAGGAGGCGGCATAATTGATTTATACATTTAATCTGGATTTGAAGTTTTGGTATAATGTTTTTTAGAGTTTTTGTTTGGATAGAGACAAATAGAAAATTATATAACTGTTCAGAATAGACTGATATTACTTAAATGTATTTTGGTAGTACTCAATTTATGACTATTGTTGAGCCCAAAGTTACTGTTGCCAAGTGAGACAGTTGTTAAGTGAGTTTTGCCCCATTTTACAACCTTTCCTGCCACTGTTCTTAAATGAATCATAGCAGTTGTTAAATTAATAACCCGGTTGTTAAGTGAATCTGGTTTCCCCTTTGATTTTGCTTATTTTGCAAAAGGTGGTCACATACTCCTAGGACATGCAACCATTATAAATAAGAACTAGTTGCCAAGCATCCAAATTTTAATCACATGATCATGGGATTGCACTTTTTTCAGTGCCATTGTAACTTCAAACAATCACTAAACAAATGGTTGTAAGTCAAGCCCTAATTGTATATAGTTTCATGCCCTGGTTTGTTCAATGATTTAAACATTCTAAAAATGAGATTAAAAATTATTCCTTTTAAATTAGCTTGCATTATTTTGGGTTGCAAGAATGGTTAAGATGCATAGATCTGCGATCTATGCGAATTCTAGGACTGCCTTAGTCATGAAAGCCAGCTGGATGACTTTTGAGTGAGTTATTCTCACTTAGCCCAACCCCACTAGGATTGTATAGAAAATAGGTGACAGGAGTATTAAGTATGTTTGCAGTCTTGAGTTTTTGTGTCTGTGTGTGGATGGATGGATGGATATATATTTCTATTGGTTACTTAAATTATTTGTAATTACTGTATTTTTCGGAGTATAAGATCACTGGAGTATAAGACGCACCTACCTTTTTTGGTGAGGAAAAGAAGAAAAAGAAATCTCCCTCTGCCTCTGAGCAATTTTGCCTCTTGCAGCAAACAGCTTGCTTTACTTTCATTTTCGTTTTCAGCACAGCTTGATTATTTATTTATTTATTTATTTTATTTCTATACCGCCCTTCTCCCGTAGGACTCAGGGCGGTGTAGAGCCTGATTAAAAGCACAAAGACAGACAAAATTTAAAAATAATTAAAATTATTAAATAATAGGATCAATTATAAAACCCCCAAATTTAAAATCCCATATTTAAAAACCAATTAAAATCTTTACATTGATAGCCCAGCCTGACGGAACAACAAGGTTTTGAGGGCACAGCGAAATACACAGAGATCAGAGATCTTACGAATTTCTGGGGGCAGTTCATTCCAAAGGGCAGGGGCTCCCACAGAGAAGGCCCTCCCCCTGGGTGTCGCCAGCCGACATAATTTGGCCGATGGTACCCTGAGGAGACCCTCTCTGTGGGAGCGGACTGGCCAGTGGGAGGCTACTGGTGGCAGAAGACGGTCTCGAAGGTATCCAGGTCCAATGCCATGGAGCGCTTTAAAGGTGGTAACCAACACCTTGAATTGCACCCGGAAGGCCACTGGGAGCCAGTGCAGCTCGCGCAGGAGGGGTGTCACATGGGCACAATGAGTTGCGCCCATAACCACCCGCGTGGCCGCATTCTGGACCAGTTGGAGGCTCCGGGTGCTTTTCAAGAGGAGCCCCATGTAGAGAGCATTACAGTAGTCCAGTCAGGAGGTGACAAGGGTGTGAGTGACTGTGCGCAAGGCGTCGCGATCCACAAAGGGCTGCAATTGGCGAATCAGGTGAACCTGATAAAAAGCCCCCCTGGCCATGGCCCCTGGCCACGATTAGCACAAGGAAAAAAAAATCTGCTCCAGCAATTTACCTCTTTGTAGCAAGCAGCGGAGCCCTGAACAAAACAGCTGAGAGCAAATCAGCTGAGAGTCAGAAGGCCGATCAAATCAGCTTGTGCTAATTAGGCTGTGCTGAAGCAGAAAAGAGCTGTTTTCTTGCTGTTTGCTTGCAAGGAGGTAACTGCTGCGAGGCAGAGGCCAAAGGGTGGGGGCCAGTGGGTGGGCAGGGCTACATTCGGTGTATAAGACACACCTAAATTTTCACCCCCTTTTAGAAGAGAAAAAGGGTGCGTCTTATACTTCGAAAAATATGGTAGCTATTATGTTTATGAAATATTTATGTAGTTAAAATATAAGTAACTGGGTATGGTTGACATAAAAAGAGTTTTTAAAGATGCACAAGACTTATATATGTTGACTTTTAGTGTGCTAAAGAGAAGAAATCACCAAATTAAAATGCACTATCTTCTCCAAAATTCCAGTTTTGGAGAAAGCTGATATTGCTATAGACTTTATTTGATAGGAAACCTAATTCCAATTATTTAGGGATATCATCTGGATTGTTAGTTGATTAGCATTCTGGTTGTATAGAATAACGTAAATTGAAATTACAAATTTGTTGCTTTCATAGAATACTGGCCTAAATCTGCTAAAAGCTACCAGTCACTAGTACTACCTTTAATATTAACATGTGTCTGATGTGACACATGTATGACTAAGGCTGGTATTCTAATGTACACCATTCATACTCCATCTTGCTAAAAGGCATTATATGAAAACTTCAGTCAACTAAATCCATGATGGACTGTGCTGATGATGTCAGAGCCTGTAGAAGATCATTACTTGGAATATAGGTGGGATAAATGACAAAGAGTATTCATTCATTAATGAATGAAATGAAAATTATGCAATTGTGAATACAAGAAATGCGAAAGATTTAATGATATAAATAAAAGTGACCTGATCTTCTGGAATGAATTTGATGAATACATGTGAAAGTGTAGGCTTTATTCTTAAAATAAAGAACTAAGATATATCTCAGAAAGTTTCAATTGGCATTATCTTGATTTGTGGAAGCATGTGAACATAGGAATTCATAGGTTGGTGACAGTTGACTATTATATTGGGGTCAATAATATTAATGAAAGATCTCAGGATCAGAGTTATAATAGGGTAATTAGAAAAATGTTGATAATTTTTTTTTTAATAAAGTGGCCTTGGTCTTGTTTTATGTATGTGTGAAGACCACACTATGCCTGATGATTAGAAGAATGCTCTTGTCCATTGTACAAAAGGAAAGGTAGCAAGAATGAATGCAAAAATTAGTATTAGTTTGTCAAGTGTGCCTGGAAAGTGTTTGACAGAATTTTGGTTGAAAAGATACAGATGGTGACCATGAGCAATATTTGGGGTTTGAAATGAAGCTTTATATTGTGGAGAGGATGCATAGACCAGGTTTTTCTCCTTCAGCAATAATTGAAAAATATATAATGTTACTTGATTCAAAAAAAGTATGTGAATAATCTTTAAGAATGTAAAGATTTGTGATAATATGGACCTGAAGATTGCTTGTTCAACTTGATAAGAATAATATGTGAAAGAAATAAAGCATGCATAAGAATCATAGGAATGCTGAAGGAAGCATTGTAGAAGGAAAAAAAACAAGGATATGTGATATCTCCCTGGTTGCATAATGCAGTTATGGATGAATATATAAGGAATGTAGAAGCTTGTGGTGATATCAAAAGTGTGTTGGGTAGAGAACAGATGTGTTTGTATTTCAGTATGTAATTTATGCCATGTTGTTGGCTGAAAACCCAAATAATTTGCAATACATGTACAATGCAAGGAGGAACATGGCTCTGAAAATTAATGTGTCAAAGACCAAAGTAGCTATGTTTGAAATGGAAATGGAATTAACAGTTGAAACAGTTGTAAATTGAATAAAAGAGAAGAAAATTACTTTGTGTAACCTACAAAAATGTTTTCCCCCCTTATTAAGGTCATTTCTCTGTTATAGGCTTAAGCATTTTTGTACTAACCCTCAGATGTTGCCGAAGTCATATACAGTGTCTTATTTCATTGAAACAATTATTGGGTGATTCTGTGTAGGTACTGTAGGGAAGTAGTGAGAAAAAAATTAATATTCAGAATTCATTCAGGCAGTCTATATGACAAATAAATATTATACCGGTAGTTAATTATAATGATTTATTACAAGGTGTATATTAATTATGGATCAGTAGCTGTTCTCTGATTAGTTTAGCTGTTATATGAATTTTTCAGTTTATTTGATTGAAGTGCTAAAAAGCAGACCTCTTTTGTACCCAGAAAACCTGATGTTTAAGTGCTAAAAGCATTAAACAATTCAATAAGGTTTCAGGGAGGTCAGGTTTGAAATTTAAAAGCATATAAAAATAGGTAATTGAATAGTTTAAATGTAAGAATAACACCTTTAAATGATAGCATCCTCTTTGAAAACCTATATAAAATAATTTCCTGAGAATTAAATGGTAGTAAGAATGAAAATATCATGGCAAAATCTTTTTATTTGTTTTATGTAAATGAAAATTTTTAAATACGTTATTAGCAAATAAATTAGCATGAATTCTATATAAGTTGCATACCTATTTTATGAAATAAATAGGACATTTTAAAAAAGATGATACAGATTACAGAAGGATACAGTATATTCATATTTTATATATTATATTGCAAGCAAATATTTCAGTAATTATGAATGCTAGATTTTTAACTGGGAATATATATCCATTTAAAATACTGCATACATACCATTCTTTCAAGTAAAAACGTTTTACAGAATAAATTTGTAGCTTTTTTAAAAAAAAATCCACATTTTAATTTAATTCTATTACTTTCCAATATATTAAAAAAAGGCAAGCCATAGCAAAATAGTTCTGTGATATCATTCAATTAAAATTAGGTCAACCTGTTTGGAATTTCAAATGGCTAATGGAATGCAAATTGTGATGACTGCTGCAACTTTCCATTGCAAGCTGTGGAATGCTCAAAATGTTGCTGCTTGTGCAAAACATGATACAGTTTATGGGTTTTGATACTAAGGCAATGTCATTTCAGAATGCTTTTTAATTTATTTTAGTATTTGGAATAGTATTTGACAGAGCAACCTCTGTAGGCTTGGAACCATAGCTCGGAAGTTTTTTCATTCTCTGTTATGTCATTCTTTTAGAAATACAAACCATTTTGATTTCACACATCCTTAATTCTTCCTCTGAAAATGACAGAGTTAAAGATTATGTCAAATAAATACAGCACCTATCTGCAAGTCCTTAAAGCAAATGTATCATTTCAGATGGTCATATGATTGCTATAGAAAGCTGTTACAGAATTCTTGGAAAAAAAACATTTTCTTTAAGGACTTATAGATAGGTGTTACATTTGTACGCCAGACATTTTAAAAAACATTTTTGTCTTTGACAAAGATATATTGTTCCACACCTTTACACCACAAGAGTTCTTGTAACTTCAAAATAAAATGGTAAAACATGTTTAAAGTGCATTTCTTAAAAAATACAGTGGTATTTTCATTTTTTTTAATATGTTTAAATTTGCTTGATAATTTTATTATTAATGGGTTAATAATATTGCCCGCTTAAATAGTAAATTTATTTCATAATAGGGAAGATTGAATGGGAATTAGAGATAAGCATATTTTTCAGCCTCTGTATCATGTAACATTTTGTTCAGCTTATTTTGTGCCTCCATTTCAATATAAGAGTAAGCATTATTTTATTTAGTTGAAAAGCTAATGTTCCATAGTAAGTAATGCATGTGCATGCTTGTTCTGGCTAAAAGACTTTGATATATTTGATATATTTTTAGCATTAAGGTAAGTGAGATTTTCATCTTTATATATAAAATAGTTCGATGACAACCATTTTGAAATAACATTTATTTCCAGTAGAAATGTAAAAATAGAGAGATAATAGAGAGCAGTGAAAAAGGACAAAACTTATATACCCCCAATATGTTTATATTTTCAGTTATAATGTATCTCTAAGAATTTATAAAATTAGACATATATTTGTAGTATGAGCATTGAATATTTCCATTTTCATATTTATGCAAAAAGAATTATTATGAATCATTTGTTTAAAATGCATTTCAGATTTTCTTGGAAATGTAAGCAAAAAGTTACAGGCAGGAATAAAAGCTAGCCATATTATTGTTTAATTGCAATAATTAAACAGCAGATATTGATTGATAGTTCTTGTTTGTTTTTGTTATAATTAAGCATGTAGGTTATAGTTGATTTGAAAGGTGAAGATGATATAATTCATTTATTTGATAAGTTTCATTGTCCTATAAAAATGAATGTGGTTTTTTTGTAGCCTCTTCTCCTATAGATGATGGTGAGAAGCAAAATAAGCGGTTTAGACTGACATCAAAATCATCATCAAAAGAAAATTCACCTACTATTTTACCTGGAAAAGAACAAGACTTTTCTATTTACAAAGAGAAATTTATTCCTCCTGAACTTAGTATTTGGGACTACTTTATAGCAAAGGTATTTTTTTGTGTTGTTGGAAACAAAACTTGTCCTATTATTCCTTCACAAATGGAGAATCTATCTGTCAGCTCCTTCTTCAAACTTCTGCACCTACAAACAATAATCTTTTCAAATAATATCCTAATCTCTGCTGAGATTATAAGGATTAATCTTGCATTCTTACATGTATATATCTTATAAATTTAATAAATAAATAAAATAATAATACCTTAGAAATGCATAAAATGCCAATTCAGTATTAAGGTAAAGAGAAAGGCTAGTATTTTTCTTACCCTGATAAGTAAAATAGTAACACTTTAACAATTTTTTCTTAATCTGTTTTCTTCTTTTTAGCCATATCTTGGATCATCCCAAACTAGATTTGAATATGATTCAGAAGAAAGTCAGGACAGCAGTGATGAAGATGAAGATGAAGATGGAGCGTTCTTATCAGATTCAAAACTTCAGGAACACTCTAACTCAAATTCATTTAGGTATAAATTATTACTGAATTACCTATAGTTTTTTCTTTACATAATTCAATAATTTTGCAGGCATGTTTTCATTCATCTTTTTACATTAGGTCATGTATTGAATGAAGCTAATTTAGAGTTTTCCCTGTCTTGGTTGGGACAGCAGACTAGTCGGAAGAAATCCTTCTAAAGCGTTTGATATTTCTTTGGATCCTGCAAATTAAACACATTACAGTGTTCTCTAAAGAAAACTAGGGTGCAAAACTCAGTTTCTAGTTTAGCATAGGCATAAATTGTAGGTATGATGTCCATCTGCTAGTCCATGGATCAAACTAATGATTTTATTAGAGTTAGAATTGGGCAAGAATTAAATAGACACTTTCAATAATTATACTTTATATATAAAAAAAAATTATTGAAACTTAGAACTTTATAAAATAAAATCATTTCATTGGAAATAAAGTTCAAAACAAATTTAAAATCACATTTTTAATGATAAGGATAGGATGTCTTACATTTGCATAATTCCTGAAATCTAGATTTAAATTTACATTTATTTTGGATTAATATTTGTTCTTTGCAGCAGGAACTGTGAAAAATCCAGACTTTACTCTCAGTTTTTCCAGAAAGAGCAGGTGTAAATAACTGACAGCAATCCAACTTTGTATGTTCAAATAATAGTGGAAAAAATGCCTGTGTCCCTCCTAAAATTAGGAGGATAGTGAGTTTGAGAATTCATTTTTAGAGTAGTAACTAAAAGTATATGGTGTGAGTTAGAAATTCATTGTTCAAAATTTAACTCAAGAGTGGCCTTGCCTAATTACAATGTTTTATCCAAAGAGAGTTTGAACAGCTACTTTATAGGGTTGAAGTATATGTGGGGAAGAAGATTACAAAAGCATTATAATTAGGGTTAAATTTAAAATAAAGTATTATTTGTGTCCTTTTTTGCTCTTAAAATGAATTTAGAATGCCTTGTAATAGATATATTTACAGTAATAAGAGAAAAAGGAAAACAAGTATTAGCTAAATAGTTAAATACAAAATATTTTCAGTCTTCAGCAACATGGAAATTGCTGGAAAAACAATAACATCTTTTTTGTTGTTTAGTTGGTCATTGATGCGCTTGGCTATGGTTCAGCTAGTTCTCCGTAACTTGAAAAGTTTCTACCCATTGGCTGGACATGATCTTACAGGTAATTAATATATTTTTGATTATTGGTGGATATCATTGTCTGTTTTTATATGTGCATATCACTGCATTAATTTAAACTAGAAGTACTGTATGCCAGATATTTTGAGTAAACGGGAAGTCTTTTGATAGTTGTAGCCATTTGAAATGACCCAGTTTTGATTTGAAATATAATACCAAGCTTGTAATACATGTTTTTCAGCTGGGGATCTTTCAGAATGATAACAGCCAAAATGGAACTTTGTCAGTAAAATTCAGAACATATATGATATATGTATATGATAATAGAATGTAAGAATGTAATTAACTGCAGACATTTAAATTCAGATGGGCTGCCTATTTATTCTGTACAATTTCAGCAGACTGTTTTCAGACACAAGTGCCAATTCACAAACCATTTCACAATTCATGCAGTGTGGAATGGGGTGGGTGAGGTGAGGTGAGAAATAAGCATTTCTCCGTTTCTCTCAGCAATACTGCTACAGATGTGATGTTTCTAGTTCAAGAGCTGCTAGCAATTGGGTAAATTTATTTTTCTTTAGGACATTCTATTAATAGCTGATGAAGACAACCTATGCATACTTAATGAGAAACTAGGCCCTTTTAACTCAGTAAAATGTTTGTTTAGTCTGAACAGTTCTTACATTGTTTTTCATTCAACAATATGTTTGCTAACTTCAGTTTTGATATACGTAGCTACTTCTGAAGCTCTGAAGTTCACCTTAATGAGAAAACATGTCTAGAAGTTTTTAGTGTTATTAATGTTCTGACAACAGAAACATTGTGGAAAGTATGTAGTATAAAACATTCAGAGAATATAATATACTTTAAAGAAAATACTGTACTGAATAAAAAAAATGTCTGTCTTTAGAACTTCCAGTTTGTTCACCGCTATGCCATGCAGTTCTAAAGGCTCTTCAGCGCTGGGAACAAGTTCTTCTCAGACGACTTGAAATGCATGGAGGTCCACCAGAAAACTTTATTTCTATTCACATTTTACAAGATGCCTCATCTTCAGGCCCTGCACTACTTCGCCACAAAGCTTTGCTAGAGCCAACAAACACTCCTTTCAAGTAAGTTTATATCTTGAACAGAATAAATGTTGTTATATTTCTTATCTATTATTTAGTGAAGTATATGGAATCTCTTGGGAATGTTTATTTTTCATTCACAAATTCATAATTTGCCATTTCTACATCTTTTAATTTTTCATTGCCACGAATAATGCAAATTATTAAGCTTTGATTAAGTAACTAAAAGAAAACATAAGAGATGTATAAAACTAGGGCCTTGAAAATGATAAGCAAGGAGTTTTTTGACTGAAAAAAAGTTTTGCATCAAGAACAATCATGGGTACAGTTAAGAGGGGGAAAATTGGCTTTGAATTTCCTTGACAAAACCTTCAAAAGAAGGTTAATATGCTTGAGTGTGGTGCAGACACTTTGGCTTACCAATATGCTATCTCTCAGAATTTATAAATAAAATGTAGGGCATAATATTTGCCAAGATTTATCAAATCAAATGTGTGTGTATGTGTGTAAACACAGAAATATATATGAGATATCATAGGGTGTGCAGTTAGTCTCTGCTCATCATCTTGGCTATTGGTTGCTTTATTATTTCCCATGCTTCCTTAATTTTTTGGTTTCTAAGTGATATTTCTTGATGAGATATTTGTTTGTCTTCTTGTTTTTTATCTTTTTTTCTTCTGTCTGTTCTAGCTTACTTGTTTCTGATCTTAGCATGCTGAAGTTATTTTCTAACAAGAACTTCCATTTTGCTGGTGCACTGTTTGCTTCTTTTCTTGTACGTTAGTTTTGCATTCCCAATACTCAGTTATACTTGCAGCCATGCTGTAGATTAGTTGATTTGTTTCTTGCAGTGAGATAATGCCTATATTTTATATTTGATATTATAGAATTAGAATGTTTTTATACTAGTGCTACTGGTTCTTTGGAATCAGTTTCAATATAGACAACTCTTGTTTATGTACTGTTCTGGATGCTCAGTTATTCTTTGTTCCAATTCCTTTTTTTTTTTTTTTAGCTAGAGGGTTTTGTTTGCTCTGACAAGATAGAGGAGAGGGCTCCTGCTTTGGAAATAAAAACAATTTAATAGCTATACTGATTTCCTTTGCTGCCCCCCCCCCCCCCCCCCCCCACCTCCCGGATTAGCCTGTAGAGTTTGAGCTGTTTCTGATACGGCTTCGGTCTCTTATCCCTGGGTTAGACCTTTGCAATACTTTCAGTTCTGCTTTTAAATATGTCATCTTTTGTCAATATTTTATATTTGTGTCAAATTGTAAATAACCGTGTAAATAACAATCAAATATTTAATGAACAATTATATCAGTATATATATTGAATAAATATTCAATAAGGATATCAGCCAATACTTTTTGTTGAAGTCCAAACTTGGGCCTTTTTAGGTATTAATACAATATTGGCCTCTTTCCAGTTGTCTAGATATGCCCACCACCACCACCACCACTATTCATGCATCTTTCTGGTTAGTTTCTTTTATAATTCCTCAAACTTCCCTCACTCGTAGGTCTGTTCAAAAGCTTTCTGTTTCTCTGTAATCTTTAATAAATGTTACTTTGTTAACTATCCATTTTTTCCAAGGAAATTACTTTTCCTTTATATAAATTAGAATAGTATTGATAAATTGTTTTTTCATTTATGCTCACCTTATCTGTTATAACTTTTATTTTTCTTATAATTTAAATATTTTATTTCCTTTTTTCTTTCATAATTTGTATTCTAGCATCTTCTTGGTTTCTTGCAAACTCAAAAATCTTTGGTTTGTCTAATTCATTTTTATTTCCCTTTCTCTTACTGACAACATAGACAATTTTCTTTGTAAAAGCTTAAATTCGTTGGGTAATATATTGTGTTCTCTAGAAGCTTCTTTAATTCTTGGAAGCTTCTTTAATTCTTGTGAATCTTTTTAAATTACGTATAGAAAAATAGATTAGACCATTCTTTTGGTAACATTTATATAGAAATATCAAGGAAAGATATACAGTATAAAACAGTGGTAGCCATGTAAAGGAGGATGAGTTAAGAACTAAAGGGATTAGTTCAGAATCTCTCAGTGAGCTTTCAGCTGTGGTAGCCCAGTGGTTAGAATGCAGGGTTTCCGGCTAATTCTACTGACTGCAAGTAATTTGATTCTTACCTGCTCAAGGTTGACTCAGCCTTCCATTTTCCTGACGTCGGTAAATGAACTAGATTGAGGGCAATATGCTGACTCTGTAAACAACTTAAAGAGGGCTGTAAAATACTGTGAAGCAATACATAAGTCTAAGTGCTATTGCTATTTTAAGGATTAAATGTGAGTTTTGTGGTCCTTACCCATTCCTTAGCCACACCTAATATTCTAAATATACTAATTTGAAACCTGAGTCTTTCAGGTTCAGCCATTAATCAATAGCTATCAGTAAAAAGCAGCTGCTGAGAAAACAAAGTTTTAATTATTTCTTCCTGAGTATTCTGTGACCATTTACTTCTAAAACTGTTCAATAATTTCTATTAATGCGACCTGAACAGAAAAGATGAAGATTATGTATGTTGGCTTATAAAATATATTATTTGACTAACTTCCTTCAGTCCTCACAATCATCCCACCTTAAATTAATCATATCACATATGCAAACATTTTTGCAGTTCCTCAGTAAAATGATTCAGTATGATCAGCAGACTCTACCTATGTTCTATTTATTACAACTGTAGAAATTATTTTTGAGAAGAATAAAATAGATGATGTACTGTATAATATCAGATATATTACATTTTACGTGTACTTATGCCATTTTCTTTTTACACCTGAGGAATATTTGCAATAGGTATCTTCAACCTAAATATCATTGCTTTCTAAAACACTAAGGATTTTACTAAAGAAGCATGTATATAGCAAAATACCTGCTAGAATGAAGCACTTATTGTTTCTCATTAAAATTTTACCGTTTTCTGCTTTCATTTGTCAATATGTATACTAATGTATATCAAATTCATCACGTGTATTTGTTTGAAATTATATCACATGTTAAAAATGATTCTCATTTTTAGATCCAAAAGTCATTATGCATTGTCCGTAAAAAGACTTTGGCAGTACCTCGTTAAACAAGAAATGGTCCAAGAAACCTTCATCAGAAACATATTTGCCAAAAGAAAGTGTTTAAATGAGGTTAGTGTTATATGTTTATGTAGAAATTTAAATCCATTAATTAAAATTTAATTAAGCTAGTATTTCTTTTCGAATTTAAAATTTCACTACTATTCTATAGAAATAAATTCCAAAACATTTCTCCTAGGAATCTAGTAATGGAAAAGGCGAAGGTATTGCATATAACTATTTGCATTCCTCTGTGGTTTATTGAATCATTGGATTGTATTACTGGCTATTAAGAAGAAGAAATATTCATCATGTTAGCTATCTCTATAACATGATATAAAATAATATATGGTTGACTACTTTGTATGCTGTTTTCATGCATTATCTTCTAGGCCCTCTTCCAAGTAAACTAATTAACCTTCAGAACACACCAGTAATAACTTTGTCAGCTAGGCCCCTTCCCTTTTTTCATAGCTGCTGTACATACCAAACTAAGATTAATAATTCTTGACTCTTTAGGTATAATATTTGAGCTTTTGCCTCTTTAATTCAGTGTTCAGCACAAATCTAATTATGTCTTTAATGTCTCCTCTAATTATGAGGAAAGGACAGAATTCTATTTTTCTTTAAAAATTTTTGAACCATAATACATGTAAAATTCAAGCTGAATTAGATCTGCATAACCTCTGAAAAAGCTAGTATATATATTATCTACATGTAAAGCAAGTTATTTAATTTTTAAAAATGGAGGAAATTATCGTGACTACAGGTAATTTCAAAAATGTGTTCTATTACCTATGCTCACCTTGCATATTGTTCCATATTATTAATATATTAATTTTTCACGTAGTTCTTTTTGATGTTTTTTTTGGGATTTAGTCATTAGAAGACCAGGCTGAATTTACCAAAACTAGTTCAGGAGAAGAATCAGGAATCAATAAGGTATGTATCATAATAATAAGAGATGTATTCTAATTATACTAAAAGTTTTCTAGAAAATCTTTTAGTACCTCATATGTAAAATATTAACCAAACCAAATTTGCTAAAATCTTTAATCAACTGGCTTTTTAATTTAAGCAGTATATTAGTGTGCAGGTACTCCTTGATGTACCATTCGTTTAGTGACTTTCAAAGTTACAATGGCAGTAAAGAAAAATGACTTTTGACCAGTTATCACATTTATGACTATTGCAGCATTCCCATCATCATATGACGAAAATTCAGGCGCTTGGCAACTAGCATGTATTTATGACAGTTGCACTGCCTCAGGGTTACTATTTGTAACCTTCCCAGCTGGCTTCCTACAAGCAAAGTCAATGGGGAAAGCCACATTTGCTTAACAACCATATGATTCACAGTGATTCACTTTACAACTATGGCAAAAAAAAGTTTGTAAAATGGGGTACAATTCATTTAACTGTCTCGCTTAGCATTGCTCAATTGGTGATCTGTCCCCGTACCCACACACACACCCACACAGCCAGTCGAGGGTTAAGGAAACACTTTGGAACGCACCCAGGTCTTATCTCCGACTTGGCAGCGATAGACACACCGTCTGCCAAGGGTCTTTATTTTCACAAACAGACAGATAAGATACGAACGTTCAAGAAAGTCCAAACAGAAATAATATTCCTCCCAGCAGTTCCGGACGAGGCTTTAGTGACTCCAAGGTTTTGCTTTGTTCGTCACAAGGATCCTTTGACCACTACCCTCTATTATATAGTCTCTGGGGTGTGGTCCAGTGACTCAGTGCTAATCCCTAGCACGCCTCCCAAGCTGCTGCAAACGTTTATCACGCCTTCGGAGGCGTGCGTCCAGGAATGATGTTTCATTATCACTTTGACTCGAATCAGCTGTCTCCTCTCCCTCGACTGGCACTTGAGACAATGCCAGAGGGGAGGGGCCTGGAGAGGGAGGCCTGGCTGACTCCTCTTCCTCATGCTCGGAGCTTTCTTCCTCCGATGGGACAGGCTCAGAGGGCGGGGCCACAACAATTGGGCTCAATTGTTGTAAGTTGAGGAATACCTGACCAGAATTGTACAATATTCTGTAAGGCCATGAAGACCTAGTTATAGGATTAGAATGTGTTTAGAGTCCCATATCTTGGCTTATCAACATGTGTGGCAATAATTTTATTCAGTGATCATGTACATTTATTCTGCTTTGCTTTTTATTGCTTTATATTTTTATGATATATGCCACCTAGAGTCACTTGTTGAGATAACTGGCTAGAATAATTAAATAAATAAATATTGTACTTAACAATGTTCTGGTTTGAAGTTGCTGGCTTTTTGAAATGTAATAAATATCAAATAATTTTCAAATTCCAAGCAATTAAATGATCAATGCTGAGTAATAAATTAGATATTTCTTAGCTTATCTTTTAGGAATTTTCACTACCATTTTCTAGTTTCTTTAGATGAATGAACTGAATTTAATCTGAATGAATGATTATATAGAAAAAGGATCCCACCAAAATGTTTTTATTAGGCTATCTTGAATTTATAATTATGCTTAATTAGGCTAGATATATTCCTGATTAATATTTATCATTAATTTTTAGCATAATCTAAAAGAAGAAAGCCTTACTATTATGTTGTATTGTGTATGTTGCCCTTTGTCTTTTCTTTCTAACACAGATAGAGCATGATGCAGGATCTCCTGGAAGTAAAGCAAGAATTATCCATAAAGAATCTGACATTATTACTGCCTTTGCTGTCAATAAGGTATAGACAAATGGAAGAGTTGGGGGAATAGTCCTTCAATATTTTGAAATGATGTGACTTAGATCCATATGAACGAAATTCTATTGTACTTCCAACTAGAGGATCTACACTAAATAATTACTTTGTAATAAAGATTTTTGGTTCTATAGCAACAAGGGCACTGACATCTTTCTTGAAGTATAGTTTTTATTTTTATTGTTTACATTTAGAAACCACCCACCTCCCTCACAAAGGGACCCTGGGTGATATATAAATAGAATGTTAAAAACATAAAATATTATAAACATAGAAACTAAATATAAAAATTTAACACATTGCAAGAATATATTTACGAAACTAAAGAGTAGCATCAGGACAAACAGATTAATGTAGTCAAATTACATGGGAAATTTTAAGTGGGAAGTAATTTATGTTAAAATGATTATAAAACTGGTAATTTATATTATAACTGGCTATCATCAATGAGTGGAGATATGGAAATCTTAGGAACCATTCTTAGGAACCATTTCATTAAATTCTATTATGATGGAATTACTGTTTCTCAGTAAACTTCAAGCAGAACTGATAACATCAGTCCTCCTAGTTATTTTGGATATGAGTCGTGTTCCCCCTGAAGAAGGTGCTTCATGATTTGGGGTCTTGTGGAATTTAGACTTGAGCAGCTAATGGAAACCCTTGTAATAATATATATTATCCCAATTACAACCTTGCCCTAGCAACAGTAACTTATATCCATATCTCATGCTGCCTTGGAGACAGTTCAGAAACCTCAGCTACTCAGTCTTATTTTAATGTCTGATTATTATGTATGTCAAATATTATATTTATAATATATTATATTATTAAAAAAACTGCTGATGGGACAATCTTACCATTGCAGAATAATGTCAATTTAAAGTTGCATAGGTTGATAATAGTCTTGTGTGTCTCTTCAAATTACTGGTCATTTCTTAAAAGCCCTATATAGTACAGGAATAAGCATGTATCAGGAATTGTCTTGTTGAAATTTAATCTGCCATTCTTGCCGAACCCATTTCTTCTTTAATATTAGGTGACAGGGCTTTTCAGCAGTAGAAATGAGAATGTGTTTCTCCAATGTATTTGGTCCGATCCTTTGCAACATTTCACAAGGCTGTTTAAAATGTTATTCAAATGTGCCTTTAGACTAAGTTGACGGTTGGTCTGTTGTAGCTTTATATAATTCTGCTTTGAATATACCTTAGTTGATTCTCTGGTTTCTCTTCATATCTTATAAATCTTTTGTCCTTTTTACCTTACTTGATTCTTGATTTTATTCTTGCCTTGTTCATTGCCTAGAGTCTGGGTATATATATTGGGGGTATAGACAGATGGTATGAAATAAATATGTATTTCTGCATTTTAGGCCAACAGGAATTGTATTGCAATAGCTTCAAGCCATGAAATTCAAGAACTGGATGTTTCTGGAATTTTAGCAACTCAGATCTACACTTGGGTTGATGAAGATATTGAAGTGGAAGCTAAAGGGTATTTCTTTTTATTGTATTTTTTGCCAATATCCTTAACATTGACTTAACATTGAACATTTAACCTTCCTTAACAATGACTTAACATTGACTTAACATTGAACATTTAATGGTATCCTGTTGAAATACTGACTTATAAATTATGATCTATCTTCTGGTTTTTTGTAAAACTTTTTAAGCCTCATGTCCTTTTCTTTAGTAAACTTCAACTCATACATCTTTCTCTTTGACTTACTAACCCTAACTTCCTGATAACTAGATTTGACTTACTGTGTTATTAAAAACATTTCTTTTGACTGACAGACAGCATTTCTCTTCCCTTCAGCCACTAACTGGCTTTGTCTTGAACCATCCACTGATTGGCTATGTAGCTCATAAGAAAATCTGAAGTACAAATGCACCACCAATCAGATAATTTACTGCCAATAACTCATGTGATATCAAGTGAGAATTCATGGATATAGGTAGCTAAGCATCTTTGAATTAGAATAGAATATATTTTTAGGTAGTAATTCATGACCAATATTCATTTGAACATTTTGTTTTATAGAGCTGATGACTTCTTAGTTATACATGCTCGTGATGACTTGGGAAACATTCAAGGAACTACTCCTTATACACACAGCACTCCTGGAACACCAATCAATATGCCATGGCTTGGCAGCACTCAGACTGGCAGGGGTGCTGCTATGGTGAGTCACTTGTTATCAAATAATAATGACCTTAAACATTTATATTTCAATGGCTTTTATTTTATTTATAATATGTACTTCTAAATAATCTATTAAGATTTCACAAAGACTCTGAATTTTAATTTAAATCAATCTTAACATTGTTTATTTGAACAATTTTGGTTGTGAGGTTACATGTTAAAACTACTTTTTAGAACTTCTGTGAGTAAGTGAAACCTAGGAGAGGGTTTTCCTATCTATTTTAATATTTTCTTCTCAGGCAACATACAGACTAAGTGAAAAAGGAAGCAAAACCAAATAAATGTTCATGCTTTCCTTGATACTTGATTTATAAGAAACACATCTGAAATTGACCCTTTCTTTGCTTTCTTTCAATGCATCTTTATCCTATTTTTCAGTGTCATTGCACTGTCTTTTGATTTGGACTGGACTTATTTATTTCTTTTGGTTACATTTGTCGGTAATCTTTAATAACAGTTATCTTTGGAATTTTTGAAGTGGCTTAGGTTGATTTTATGCTGGTATTTTATAATGAGATATTGTTTCTGAAGCATTGTTAGATAATGTATTGATTAATGAAATGCAATATAGAATATTTTTTAAATTAGAACATAAAGCTCTCTTACATTTTTATTTGTCCTGCAGCAATGACAAAGTTTTCCTCAACCTAAGTTACAATATAATGCATGAATTTTAATAAAAACAATTAAGTTGCAACATGTGTCCATAGTCACAATTTTTATTAACCCCCTTCTATTAAGTCTTTGCCAATTATTGTTTTTAGCTTGCTTTGCATTTCACAGCTTAATCATCCCAGTTTATACTCAAAACTGCTGTTGTATATTTCAGTGCTTAACAGATTTTATATAATATAGTTTTTCTTACTTCTTTTAGTAAGACAATATAATCAGCATTTACATACTGCTGTGTAAAGTGTTCAAAGTACATCACAACTATTATAACTGTAATTCTTACTGTAAACTGGCATAATAAATAGACGTTATACTTATTTTGGAAACATAAGATGGAATGCATCTGACAAAAGTGTACCAGAGAACAGCCAACATCATCTTATTTGATTCTTCTTGCTTTTCATTTAGATTCCCAATATTTCCTCAATCAAGTGATTCTACCAACAAACTTTAAACTTCTCCCCCTCTATTTTGTTTTTAATTATACTATGTTCCTTTTCTCCCCAGGAACTCATGTGAATTTCTCATTTAGGTCTATCACTTTCTCACATAAGTATTCCTAAAAAACCTTTGCTTGTTTTCACTATCCAGCACTTAAAATCTTAGGCATGACAGCTCATTCACTAAAAGGTAGCTTCAGTGTCATCTTAATCTGTTATAGGTCTAACATCAAAGAAAAAAAAGCAAACATAATTAAATTGCTGACATACATTTAAAAATTTCTGTCATTTTTATCAGATAAACAGATGGGCTTTATACAGATGGGCTGCTATTTATTTACATCTTTCACACATCATTTTAGAAAAAATCTTACAGTACATACTGATTAAAAAATCCGATTATGAAGTAAATTACTATATCTTAGCATTTACTACAATTTGTGCTTTGTCATCTAGGATTCATTACATAAACCTTTTTTTCCAACCAATATATTTCCCACCTAAATCTTCTGTGGATGATTAAATGCAAAAAACATAGTTTCTTCACTCCTGCTTATTTTTTTGTAAAAGTTTGTTTAACTCTCTCTTACATGCCTCTGCTTCTGCCTTTGTCTTACTTACCTTACAATATACAGGAATATTCCAATAAATTTAATGGAATCAGAAAGGAATTGGCAAGAAAAGAGGTAAGATTGAAATCTAGTGTATGTGTTTAGCAAACCTTAGATTTATGGACCAAAAGTTTCCAAGAACCTGGATTTAGATTCTGTTGATATGAACTTTGAATAAACACTGTAGGAAGGGTTTCGTTTTCATTGATTGCCATCCATTTCTCAAACCCCAAATCATGAAGGGAAGCAAACATAGTAGTGTCTGCATTTTATCCTACTAATAACTTTAAATGAATTCTGAATAATTCTAAATGGATCTTTTAATCTTGACATTTAATAGATGATCAAGAAGAATCTCAATAATGTCAGAAGAATGGCTTCTCACCCAACACTACCATATTGTAAGTTTTTTATTTCGAATTTGTAACTTTGTTGTAATTTATAAGATAGAAAATTCTAGATGAAATCTAGAAAAGTCTAAATATCTTTGAAATTATAGATAACCTCAGTTAGTTATTTGCAGTTATATTTTTTGCAATAATATTTGATATGGCTGGATTTGAATGAGTTAAAAACTTTTCATATTTTCCTAAGCTCCTTAATGTAATACAGATCAAAGTATTTCCTCAATAGTAAAAAGCCAATAATTATTATTTCTAAAAATATAACCAAAAGAACAATAATTGAAGAATTTTTATTTTAATAATTTAGGAGTATACTTCTAATTATAATTGCTAATCTGTCTTGAAAATAATTCTTCAGTTTCTTTTTGAGTTTGTTGTAAATTCTTTTTTTTCCCCTTCCTTTGCTAAGTTTCAAAGTTATATATTTTTCTATTGCAGATTTGACAGGTGCCCAGGATGGCAGTGTAAGAATGTTTGAATGGGGCCATTCTCAACAACTTGCATGCTTTCGATCTGGTGGCAACTCTAGAATTACACGGATGAGATTTAATTATCAAGGCAATAAGGTACCATCCTTTTATCTCATATAAGACAAAAAGAAATTGTTTAAATGTCACTTATAGCTCTATATTCCTTTAATTAAGGATCACAACATTTACAGATTTCTAGATAAGTTTATAAATTTACAAATTGCTTATAAATTTGCTGTTGTTCCTTTCCAAAATGTATATGGTTTTTAATCATTAAAAATAATCCAAGTATTACAAATGAATATTTACATTTCTTTTTGCTTTTGAAAATGTAATAAATTATACATTAGCTATTGACCAACAGTAATCCAATAGTTAATATCTGTTTTTACTCAATATATAAATTTGAGTATATAAATCCTCTAAAATCAAACAGCTTGTGTGTCTAGCAAAGATTGAACTAAAATTTCAGTGCTATCCCAATGCACTTTCTTTAGCTTTTTTTAATCACTGATTGTAAGAATAATAGTGATTGATCATTCATTTTCAATTATCATTATTTGATCATTCAAATAATGAATTGAAAAACATGTTCCACTTCCACTTTGAGACAACCTAACTCAATGTATTAAGCTACTAAGAAACTTTTCTTCTAGATTTAGACTTTTAACTTATCATGCCTAAGGCTTTCATACTTAAGGCAGGACTAGAACTCATATATTTTTAGCCTGGTGCCTTAACAACTAGACAAAAATGGCTCTCAACATTGGCATACAATATTATATGTAATTAAATTTAAAGATTAAAGTTAGTTTAATTATTATTAATTAATAGGATTTGATTATATAGCCTTGTTAACACAGTCTTGATTGTTATATAGTTAGACGGATCATATCTAGTTTTATTTTATTTTTTTTTAAATGACAAGGATTGTCTACTTATAAAGGTATGGCATCATTTGCATAAGATCCCAATTATTCCATATTGCAAGCTATCTTTTTCACTATATGATAGTGTTTTTAATCTTTCAAATTGCATCCATACTCTGCAATATCAGTGTTTCTATCTTTACTAATTACCTATTGAAGTTTGTTTTGTAAGGTATTAAAAAGACAGATTAGTTTTTTACATTTTTCAAAATTATAAGACGAGGAAAAAATATCTCCCATAGAAAACTGTCTCCTGTTTCATTTTTGAGGTTCTTTTCTGTCCACTAGCAAAAGCAATTTCATGAGCAAAATTACACAAGTAATCTTTCCAGTTGTGAAATTATAGCTCAGTGAGATCTATGAAATCTTTTTTTTTCATACTTTAGTAGAGTCCAATGTCTTGTTTATACATAAACATTTTGTATTAAACTAGTTGGATCCTATTGTTTTATTCTGTAAAAATATAATATTACACAAAAAGATATTTTGAATGAATGAAGAGGTTTTTGTTCATGTGAATTCCATTTGCATTCAGTTCTTCCAGATATGCTAGGAATTGCTGATGACTTAATACACATTCATATCCACACACATCTGGAACAGCTTAACTATGAAGGAATCAATTAATTAAGTATTAATATAATGTAAATATAATGTAAAAACATGCATCTACTTTCTTTAGTTTGGGATCGTTGATGGTGATGGACACATAAGTTTGTATCAAACAAACTGTAAAGGTTGCCTACATAATGGAAGCACACCCAAACCATACCTGGTAAGTCATAATATTTACTACCATGTTTTCCCAAAAATAAGACCCTATCTTATATTTTTTTGAACCCTGAAATAAGTGCTTGGCCTTATTTCCATGCGCTCAAAAGCCCGATTGGGTTTATTATCAGGGGATGTCTTATTTTGGGGAAAACAGGGTAGTCGTTGTTTTCTTTACCTTTTTATTTTTTTTATAACCACAACAACTAAGTCCTTATTTTAATTTATTACATAGCTAACATATTTGTATATAGTTACTTTTACACAGTAGACAAATAGTCCTGTTGAAAATTGCATGTATAACAAATCTTCATTATATTTTTTATTTGTGGAAGGGAGAACAGAATTTCCAAGCAAAAATAGGACTTTCATACTTCAAATATTTTTCCTCATAGAATTGATGCTCTTGAAGAATCATTTGAAATCTCTAAACTAACTGTGATTTAAGATTGTAATATTTTATGCAGTCTAGGATGTTACAGGTAGTCCTCGAGTTACAATCATAATTGAGCCCAAAATTATGTTGTTAAGTGAAACATTTGTTAAGTGAGTTTGTTCCATTTTACAACTTTTCTTGCCACATTTGTTAAATGAATCACTGCAGCTGTTAAATTAGTAATTTGATTGTTAAGTGAATCTGATTTCCCCATTGACTTTGCTTATCAGAAGGTCACAAAAGGTAATCACATGATCCCGGGACACTGCAACTGTCGTAAATGTGAATCAGTTGTCAAGCATCCGAATGTAACTCTCGTGGGCATGGGGTTGTTGCAACGGTCATAAGTGAAAAATAATTATAAGTCACTTTTTTCAGTGCTATTGTAACTTCAAACAGTCACTAAGTGAACTATTGTAAGTCAAGGACTACCTGTATTGTGATAAATCATTAACTAGAGATTAAGATTTAATTACTAACAGAATTGAAGGTTCTGCTATTCTATGAAAAAAAAATAAGTAGGAAAAAATATAATGTTGCAAGCTTCAACCTGAAATTAATATATTTCTAAGTAAATAAGCTCTTAATATTTTTGTTGCTTTACTATATTTATTGTTCCTTGATATTTTCAGACATGGCAATGCCATAATAAAACGGCTAGTGATTTTGTTTTCATCAGTTCTTCATCTTTGATAGCTACTGCCGGGTTATCTACTGACAACAGGTATTAAAATTTCTTCAAGATCATACCAATAAACATTGTGATTTTGTACAAAAAAAAATATTCCCAGTGTTCATTCCTTTTTATACCATACTATTCTGTGGAGAACAGCTTTTTAGATTGAGCAAGAAGCAAAGCGTGCCATGAAAGTAGAAATTGTATATATTAAGTACAAAAGTTCTATTAGATACAGTCCATTTTTGTTGTTCCTTATAAAACAGTACAGGGCATGGGACCTTTTAGGAATGCCCTCTCTTCCATAAAACCTGTCTGCTTAATTTGATCCTGCAGTGTGGACATACTACAGGTTCCTTCAAATAAATGGTATCATCTCTTAGAACCCCAGAAGCATACCTTCCCAGTAGTAGCGTCTAATCTTTGGAGCAAGGTTACCCCTGAAATTTGGATGGCACTCTGGTATTGTTTGAAAGTAGCTTTTCACCTAGGCTTGTGGTGAGGGAAAGCGAAGCTCTTTAATTCCTCATGCTTGCCATATTTTATCTTCACTTTTTATGTTTTATTTATTTTGTTGTAATTTCTTTGATTGTTGTGAGCCAGAACTCATTGAGAGTCAGATGGCATAAAGTTTAATAATAAGTGATTAAGGTGCTGACCTGAAAATCAGGAGACTATGAGTTATAGTCCCACTATAGGCCTGAAAGCTGGCTGGTAGGACTTTTGGCTAATCAATCTCTCTCAGCCCAAGCCACCTCACTGGGTTGTTGTGGGAAAAATAGAAGCAAGCAGTGCTATTATTTATGTTCAGTTTTGAGTTACTTATAAAGTAACAAAAGTAATAGAAGAATGATAAAAATCAAATAAATAATAATTTTAAAAAACCACCCATGATGGTTCCAGAGGTTATTCACACATTAAGTGCTATACTAAAAAATCTTGGATAGCACTTAGAAAATCTGCACATTGACAAAATTTCCATCTGTCACTTATAAATCGCCGCACTGTTAGAATCTGCACATATACAGATAGTCATCAAATTACGACCACAATTGAGCCCAGAATTTATGTTGCTAAGTGAAACATTTGTTAAGTGAGGTTTGCCCCATTTTACAACTTTTCTTGCCACATTTGTTAAATGAATCCCTGCAGTTGTTAAATTCGTAACAGAGTTGTTAAGTGCATCTGGCTTCACCATTGACTTTGCTGGTCAGAAGGTCGCAAAAGATGATAGTTGTCAAGCATCCGAATGTAAATCACATGACCATCGGGATGCTGCAATGGTCATAAGTGTGAAAAATTGTCATAAGTCACTTTTTTTTCAGTGATGTAACTTCGAACGGTCACTAAATGAATTGTTATAAGTTGAGGGCTACCTGTATTGCATTGATCATTACAACATTCTAAGTTCTTGGGAAGAACTTTATACATATGACGGCCAAAATCAACTAAAGAACCAGCAGCTATGACTTCATATTTTTCTGTGTAGTAGTAGTAGTAGTAGTAGTAGTAGTAGTAGTAGTAATAATAATAATAATAATAATAATAATAATAATAATAATAATAATAATATCATCATCATCATTACGTATAATAACAGACCTCCGGATTTTTCGTCGGGCCCTGAAAACTTATTTATTTCAACTAGCTGGGCTGGCTTGAGCTAAATTTTAAATTGGTTTTAAATTGGGTTGTTTTAATTTACGGCCAGAATATCTAATTATTTTAATACTGTTTTTTAAATTTTGTATGCTTTGTTTTTACTTAGGCTGTGCACCGCCCTGAGTCCTATTTGGAGAAGGGCGGTATAGAAATTTAAACAAATAAATAAATAAATAAATCATCTACCTATCCCAGATCCTTGGGAAAATCTTGAAAGATGGATAAAAATGTCATCTCTGGTCTAAACCTTTAACTGACTATGCAATCAGTTGTAATAATAAACATTGTATCTATATTCAATAGCTTTGATTTGAAGTATAATATTTTCTGCTATAATCTAAATCATACTACAAGAAGTCCTCAACTTACAACAGTTCATTTAGTGAGAAAAGTTAAAATGTCACTAAAAAAAGTGACATGAGTGTTTTTCACACTTATGACCTTTGCTTCATCTTCCTGATCACGTGATCAAATTCAGATGCTTGGCAACTGGTTCATATTTACAATGGTTGCTGTATCCTAGGATCAGGTGATCACCTTTTGCGACCTTATGACTAGCAAAATCAATGGGGAAGCCAGTTTCATTTAACAACCATAATACTAATTTAACAACTTCAGTGATTTACTTAACAACTATGTCAAGAAGGGTCATAAAATGGGGCAAAACTCACTTAACAACATAACTTTGGAGTTTAAGGATGATCGTAAGTCAAGGACTACCTACATTTCAAAGCATTGTACTATCCAATCATCTTTTCTTTTTACAGTTTTTCCTCCCTCAGGGTTACTATTAAACTGTAATTTCTATAAAAAATATTTTAGTAGAAATTGATAGATTATACTTATAGTTAAAAATCATATAACTATTACTTCTTCTTTCCAATAAAAAAATAAATAAAATGTTTTAGATAATTTCAAAGGAATTGTTGCTCTTATTTGATGCTTTTTAAATTCTAATTACTAATTCAATTTGTTCTTTTATCATGATATCATTAGATATATTATTATTCCTGTGTTTGTTTCCTTTTAGAAATATTTGTCTGTGGGATACTTTGGTTGCCCCTTCTAGTAGCCTGGTTCATGGTAAGCTTATCTAGCATATATACAAACATAAAACTTTATGTTTTAAGATCTAAAATCTTAAATTATACTTCAGCTCCCTATTGAGAAATAAGATTTTGGTTAGAATTAGCCATTTTGCTAATATAACATTATGTGCTTGTACATGCAGTCAAGATAACTGTATTTGATAAAATATCTATCCATTTTTCTGTACATATATGTTAATGCTAAATAAGGGATGTATAAAAAGTTTCAAAATTTGAAACATTTGGAGTTCAAAACTGGTTTTGAATTTAAGGTTGTCTCAACCTCACGTGAAATACTTTTTCAGTCACTGTAGAAATTTTTAAATTTGGAACAGCTCTCTCAAAATAGTCCAAGTTTTGATAACATGGTAAGCCATGACAATATATCTCAGCCAAGAATAAATATATAATTTATATAAACTATATAAATTGGTTGAATAAATGAAAAATAGATGAATAAATAACTTACCGCTGTAATTTATGGCTTATGACTTCTCACATCAGATGTACCTTTAGCATGTTTTGTGAACTAGGCCATAATGAAAGTTGTGCTAGAGTTTATACAAATAAACATCTTGCTATGGGACTTTTCCTGAAAGTAACAGAATAACAGAGTTGGAAGGGACCTTGGAAATCTTCTAGTCCAACCCCTTGCTCAGGCAGGAAGCCCTATACCACTTCAGACAAATGGTTGTCTAATCTCTTCTTAAAAACTTCCAGTGTTGGAACATTCCCAACTTCTGAAAGGAAGTTATTCCACTGATCAATTGTTCTAACTGTAGGAAAATTTCTCCTTAATTCTAGATTGCTTCTCTCCTTGATTAGTTTCCATCCATTGCTTCTTGTCCTGCCTTCAGGTGCTTTGGAGAATAGCTTGACTCCTTCTTCTTTATGGCAACCCCTTAGATATTGGAACTGCTATCATGTCTCCCCTAGTCCTTCTTTTCATCAGACTAGGCATACCCAATTCCAGCAACTGTTCTTTATATGTTTTAGCCTCCTGTCCCTAATCATCTTTGTTGCTCTTCTCTCAACATGTGTTGACAGGGGGACAGAGGTCGACCCCGAGGCCCCTCATATGTGGGGTGCCGCAAGGGTCGGTCCTCTCGCCTCTCCTGTTCAACATTTATGTGAAGCCGCTGGGCGAGATCATCCGTGGTTTCGGGGTGGAGTACCATCAGTACGCTGACGACACCCAGCTGTACATCTCCACCCCGGATCACCCCAACGATGCCCTTGAAGTGATGTCCCGGTGCCTGGAGGCCGTACGGATCTGGATGGGGAGGAACAGGCTCAGGCTCAACCCATCCAAGACTGAGTGGCTGTGGTTTCCGACGTCCCGATATAGTCAGTTGACGCCATCACTGACTATTGGGGGCGAATCATTGGCCCCCACGGAGAGGGCTCGCAACTTGGGCGTCCTCCTGGACTCACGGCTGTCTTTAGAAGAGCACTTGACGGCCGTGACCGGGAGGATTTTTCATCAGGTTCACCTGATTCGCCAGTTGCGTCCCTTTCTGGATCGGGACTCTTTACGCACGGTCACTCATGCCCTTGTCACCTCCCGCCTGGACTATTGCAACGCTCTCTACATGGGGCTCCCCTTGAGGAGCACCCGGAGGCTCCAACTGGCGCAGAGTGCGGCCGCGCGGGTGGTAATGGGAGCGACATGGCGTTCCCATGTAACACCTCTCCTGCGCGAGCTGCACTGGCTCCCGGTGGTCTTCCGGGTGCGCTTCAAGGTTTTGGTTACCACCTTTAAAGCGCTCCATGGCTTAGGACCCGGGTACTTGCGGGACCGCCTACTACCACCAATAGCCTCCCACCGGCCGGTACGTTCCCATAGAGAGGGGCTCCTCCGGGTGCCGTCAGCCAAACAATGCCGACTGGCGGCCCCCAGGGGGAGAGCCTTCTCTGTGGGGGCACCTACTATCTGGAACGAGCTCCCCCCAGAGATACGGAGGATCCCGGATCTGCGCACCTTCCGCCGCGCCTTAAAGACCTTACTATTTCACCAGGCCGGCCTGGCCTAATTTTCCCCCTCTTTTATAAAAGATTTTTAAAATTTTAAATATTTTTTAGTATTTATATATTCAATTTTAAATTGGTTTTAAAAGTTTGGGGTTTTAAATTTGTCGGGGCCAAAATTATTTAATTTGATTTTATTCTATTTTTTAAATTTTGTATTGTATGTGTTTTTATTGTTTGGCTGTGCACCGCCGAGTCCTTCGGGAGTAGGGCGGTATAGAAATCTAATAAATAAATAAAAATAAATAAATAAAACATCCTTTTTACATTGTGGTGACCAAAACTGGATGTAAAATTCCAGGTGTGGTCTTATCAAGACATTATAAAGTGGTATTAATACTTCACATTATCCTGATTCTATCCCTCTGTTAATGCAGCCCAGGACTGTGTTGACTTTTTTGCAGCTGCAGCACACTGCTGGCTCATATTTAAGTGATTGTCCACTAGGATTCCAAGATCCCTCTCACAATTACTAGTATTGCTACTACAAATGGTCAGGTACTACCTAAACTATACCTGTGCAATTGGATTTTCTTGCCTAAATGTAGAACCTTACTTTTTTCACCATTGCATGTCAGTTTGCTAGATAGGGTCCAATGTTCAAGTTTGTCAAGATCCTTCTGTATTTTAACCAATCTTCTGTGTTGGCTATTCCTGCCAGCTTAATGTCATTTGCAAATTTGATGAATTTCCCATCTATCCCCTAATCTAAATCATCAGTGAAGATATTGAAGAGAACTGGGCCTAAGACAGAGCCTTGGGGTACTCCACTGCATACATGTAGATGCAGTTCCATTGAGGACTACATGTTGAATGTGGTTTGTTCTACTACTTTTGTCATTCTCAAAGAATGCAATAAGATTTGTCTGGCATGATCTCTAAAGTAGAAGAGATTGACTTAGTTCACACACAAGAGTTAATCATAGTTCATTTCGGCCTACCATAATATATTTGCCGCCCAATGTTTAACTCTGATTCCTCAACAAATTATAATTTTAAAAAAACTTGGATTAATTTTGTTTATAAAAACAGATGCTAAATTCATTTGGCCTACTTTTCCTGTTGTGTGAAATTATTGTATGAATGACTATTGTGTAATACAAATTATCTTGTATAGGAAAGGTAATTATTTTCACTATATACAGTGAAGCAGTGGTGCTTAAAAGTTTGTGTATTCTTTGAACTTTCAGTATTTCTTCATAAATAGAACCTAAAATTTGATCTGTTATCCATACAATTCCTAAAACTAGATAAAGACAACTCAATTGAACAAATCAGTAGAAACATTATACTTGTTTATTTATTTATTGAGGAAAATGGTCAAAAGCTACTTATTTGTGTGTGGCAAAAGTATGGGAACCTTTGCTTTCAGTATTTCCTTTATTTATTTAATCATATTTTTAAACCCCCCCATTTCCCTCACAGCAGGTAGCAATAATTGCAACTGAATGTTTCTGATAACTATTAATAAGTTCTACACATCGATCTGGAGAATTTTAGTTTATTCCTCCTTACAGAACAGCTTCAGCTCCGGGATGTTGGTGGGCTTCCTCATATGAACAGCCCACTTTAGGTCCTTCCACAAGTATTGATTAAGATCAATACTTTGACTTGGCTATTACAAAACATTAACTTTTTTCTTATTTAAGCATTCTATGCTTGTGCAACTTGTGAATTTGTCTCAGTGCATGACCCAGTTTCTCTTAAGCTTCATTCACAGATAACCTGGCATTTGTCAGTAGAATTTGCTAATACAACTCAAAATTCATAGTACACAGGCAAGCTGTTGTGGTGCAGAGGCAACAAAGCTGGCGTAAACCATGATAGTGCTAGTACCATATTGCTCAGATGAGGTAAAGTTATTTTGCTGGAATGCAGTGGTTGCTTTTTGCCAAATACTATATTTTTCATTCAAACCAAAGTTATTTTTTGGTCTTATATGTCCATAGAAAATTCTTCCAATAGTCTTCTGGCTTATCCATGTTCTTTCACAAACTGTAGATGAGTAGCAATTTTCTTTTAGAGAGTACTGGCTTTCTCTTTGCAAACGTATCATGAACACTGTTTTTATTTAGTCTTCTCCTGTTCTCATTAACACTGGCATTCAACAATGCAAGAGAGGTTCCTTAGACATTACCCTGAAAGGTTTTTTTTTTAATCTCCCAGAATATCCCACACCTTGCTCTTAGCATGATCTTGGTTGATCAGCCTTTCGTGGGGAAGGGTTACATTAAAATGAAATGCTTTCATTTGAATAGATCTGCCTGACAGTGAACTAGGACAGACAGTCCTAGGACTAGACTGTCCTAGAAACTAGTGACTTAGGGGAGTCCAAGGTCTTCGTAATTTTTTAACCATTCCAGCATGTTGAGTATAAACAACTATTTTTCAGAGGCTCTCAAAATCGTTAGCTTTGTGAATCCAGAAATAAATAAGCCAAGAATACTAGCTCTACCTATATTTTAATGCATTCCATTATTAAAGTAGTAATATATTATAAGGTATTGATAATATTAACAGGATCTTGCCTGTCCCTCACTTTTACTCTCCAAAAAAAGTAGGGAGAGTCTCTTCGAAGATGTTTTGCCAACCCTTTGGCAAGAATTATGGCTCTTTCTCCTAACTCCCAAGGTCATTCCTACATACCATTACAGAAATCCTTGTTCAAGCCATGATTAATTTCCATACATATATGTGTTATGAAGATTAGACAACAAGGATAAATGTTCAAAATTCTGTTTTTAAGATAACACAGGATTTCCCACACTCAGGTCTATGACAATTCGCCACGGCCAATTCGCCCCAGCCAACTTGCTGTAGCCAACTCACTGAAGGACAACTTGCCATAGCCAACTCGCCACAAGATAACCCGCTGCAAGACAAAAGTTATACTGATATCAAAGAAATGGTGGAATAGAAAAATTAAAGAAAGGATGCAAAAGGATGGACAAAATAAAATGTGAATGACAAAAATTAAAATATTTATTTATTTATTTATTTTAAATAATTAAATTGCATTGTTAAATTGTCCTGCCTTGAGTTGTCCCGCAGCGACTTAGCCATGGGCAGGGGTCAGCAACCTGCGGCTCTGGAGCCGCATGTGGCTCTTTCACCTCTCTGCTGTGGCTCCGTCACTCAGAATATGCATCATAACTGCCAATGTGCGACACCTGCCGGCATACAATTTATTGAGCTTTTCAACCCCCGGTAGGTCAACCATGGATAAATCCAAGAAAAGAAATGTTTCAGAAGAAAACAGAACATTTAATTCAACTACATATGCTAGTTTTGTGGCCGCTCAAGAAATAGTCAGGCACAGGAAGGGTTTTGTGGCTCCCGGTGTTTTCTTTGGGAAATGGGTCCAAATGACTCTTCGAGTGTTTTAAGGTTACAGACCCCTGGCGATGGGTATAGGCTGTGGCAAGTTGTTCCACCCACATTCAGCCTTGAGTATCATCCCATTGGCTGAAACACCTGGCTCTAATTTCCTTTCAACTGATAATCGGAAGGGTTTGCTTACTTTTACCACAAACAAGCAGGATCATTTTCCTCAATAGATAAATGAATAATACAATGTTTTTGACTCATTTGTTTAATTGGGTTCTTTTTATCTAGTTTTAAGACTTGCATGGAGACCATATCACATTTTAGATCATTACTATGCAGAAATATTGAAAATTCAAATGGATTCACAAACATCTAGCATGTGTATGGAATGAGAAGGTTTCAAAAGATCCATAAATAGTCAAGGTCAAAAAGAGAGTTTTGCCTACTTCTAACAAATGTTTTCTGTTGATCTAATTCAAAATCAAGTTGATTCATCCAATAATTCAGTACTGATGTTTTATTTAACAGTATCATATAATAAATATATTCAATAGTAATAGAATATTATTTACATTATAATTTACATTTTTTTTTTTTTTGTATTTCAGCATTTACCTGTCATGATACTGGAGCAACTGTTTTGGCATATGCCCCCAAACACCAGCTATTAATATCTGGTGGAAGAAAAGGCTATACCTGCTTAATAGATCTTCGTCAAAAACAACAGAGACAATTTTTCCAAAGTCATGATTCTCCAGTTAAAGCAATTGCTGTAGATCCTACAGAAGAATATTTTGTTACAGGATCTGCAGAAGGAAATATCAAGGTCATTACATTACAAAATTACATCTTGTTAATTTTAATAGGAGTAGTTTCTTATAAACAGTATTCATTATAACATTCCTGAGAACTATTTATTTTATTTAAATATTTATATAACTGCCCACCGTATAACAAACTTTGGGGAGCTTCCAATCAAAAGTTAAAATAACATAATATCCTTCTTAAAATTATAAAAAACAAATACACTAAAAACAACAAGCTGGGTCCAAATCAAGCATCTAATATGCACTCACCTCATCCCAGTGCTGGGGTCGGGACTGGGGGGGAAACCTGCTGACCTTCAGATGGAAGATGTTCATGGACAGGAGCTCCAGCAAAAATGGCATGCTTCCTTGTTCGCATAAGATGGCAATATTTATGGGAAAGGACTAGGAGTATTCCCACCCTATCTAACATGGTAGGACAGGTCTATGTCCTATTTAAAATGTGTTCTAAACTGTTTTATTCTTAGCCTTAACTTTTAAAAAATACTACATAAATACTCATCTGTAATTTCCATTCTTAATTGAATTCATAAAAAGAACCATAAGTAATCATCTGAGTGTTTACATAATTGAAGCATATTTATCAAACTTGGAGAGATCAACTCAAAATCACAATCCATTTTTTCTCTTTGTGTTTTAGGTATGGAGTCTGTCTAATTTCAGCCTTCTTCATACTTTCCTCAATGAACATTCTAGACAATCTATTTTCAGAAATCTTGGGACAGGTGTCATGCAGATTGAGACAGGACCAGCAAATCACATATTCTCCTGTGGAGCTGATGGGACAGTGAAAATGAGAATTTTGCCTGATCAGTTTAATTCATTTGGTGAAGTGTTGAAAACTGATGTGAAATATGTGTTCTAAAGTGCTGTTAGCATATGTAAAATATTATAGAATATTATCAAGCATAATTGTACAGGTAGCCCTATAGTAATATTTCCTGGTGTTTATATTTATTTCTTGGAGATATAGTCCTTAATGCACTAATGCCTTAAAGGTTAGCAAGTTCCTTCTTATTCTGCATAAGAATAGTTTTTGAAGATTCAGTAAATATTTATTATGTATTTTGTTGAGTACTGTTTGTTCTTAATTGATAATAATGCCTCATTCCATGTTGTTGAGCATGGTCTTTATCACTTAATTTCTAAAGACCGTTCCATAAAGAAGCCTTATAATATCATCTCTTTTAGCTTGACAGAACAATCAGTTGCCAAATTCCTTATTCTAACTGTATATGGGTTGTACTTGTGTAAAATAAACATACTTGACATAAGCAGATACCCATGCTATATTGAAATTTGCTATAGGAAGAAATGATATTAGATGAGCCACCATTCGTAATATTTTCCTGAAATCTAGTTTGTTCACTTTTACAATTTGAACTCTGTCTTTAGTGTGAAGAATTAAAAGATAAAAGTTTGTCTTGGAACTTTTCATGCTTGAATGACTGCTATCAAGATGGCAGTCTTTTCCTGGAACCAAGAGATATAAAGAAAAAATATATAATCAAGTCCTTATTTAAAATAGGCAAATAGAGTATGAATATCTAGCTTTCAGATTGTTTTAAGAATTATATTTAAAAATGATACATAACGTTTAAAATCCATAAAATTGAATTTAAGTATATGCATAGGATAACTGAATAATCTGGGTGGGGGTTATAAAATCATATATGCTTAAATCATTGGTAAAACACAGGAAATTGACATATAATGTTATTTTCTCAGTAAATTTTGTTTTCATTTAATCCAAACATGCTTATTTAAATCATAGCATTTAGCTTTCATTTCTGAAGTAAACAAAATAAGAAAAGGTTGCAAAAGAGAACTGTTCTAATGTATGATAAATAGTATAGATTTATATTTTTTTAAAAAATCAAGAGTTTGAAATTTGTTTTTGTTAAAATGTAATAACTGTGTACACCTAATTTTTTTGACCAAAATATAAAAATGTACAAAGCTTTCAAAAATTTTCTATATGCTAAAATAGGCCATGTAGTGTAATTATTTTGAACTACTCTTATTTTACTCATGTAAAAGTCTCGGAAAAAATTGGATTGGAGATAGATTACTTAAATGCAAATTATAAACAGTTTACTAAAATATTTTTGTGGAAAAACTGTCAATACAATTCATGTGAAACAGATTTTGTCTGGGAATAGATGCTGTAAATAAAACAAAAGTGAAGGGCTTGTATAATTAATTTTGTACTATTCTCAGGACACTACTTTTAAAAGTAATATTTCTTACTTTTTATAGAGCATTTTAAATGTAATTTTAGCATATTTCTATGCAAGCATTAAATAAGGAAACAAGTGTAAACATAATCGAAAATACATTTGTGCAATAACCTAGGCCAGTAATGGCTAACCTTTTTGGGCACCGAGTGCCCAAAGCGCCCGCACATACCCATAATGCAATGCATGCACAACTCTCCTGTGTGCCCCACCCCCACACATGCACGTGTGACACCTCCCCACGTGTGCCCAATGCCCATGTGCATGGGCACGCATCTCCCGCATACGCTCTGGCTCCCGCACACCATGGCAGAGACCCAAAAACCATCTGGCGGGAGGTGCGCATGCATGCGGAGCTGAGCTGGGATGACGGCTTGCATGCCCACAGAGAGGGCTCTGCGTGCCACCTGTGGTACACATGCCATAGGTTCGCCATCACGGACCTAGGCTATTCTTATAAAGGAAAAATGCCTAGCAGCATTTTAAAAGAGCTAGTGCAGCTATTTGATGCAGTGAATTAAAATTTTGAGTCAGTTTGCAGGTAATGCAGTGGGAAGAATATAAATTGCAATGCTAAATCACAACAATGACACTGTGAAAATAGCTTTATACATTTTAGGTCCGTTCCACATATATTCAGTTGCTTGCTTAGAAAGAATATGTTTAATAGCCCAATCCTGTAATTGTTTAGGATGTATGTATACGCTTGGGGTCCTGAGTCATCAACAACAGTAATGTTCTGCTATGTTTGTAGGAAAATTACATTGACATAACAGCTAGCACTAGTATTTAGGAAGAGATGTTAAATGTTAGTGTTATAACCATTTATTTCATCGAAGAATATTAAAACTAATTCTGCTGCCCTTCATATTTCATTCAAAGATTAATGTGGAAAAAATCATTTTAACGCTTAGTATATAAAGACTGATTTACTGAATTTTATATCTGAATTGCAAAATCCAAAATTATACCAAAGTCTTAAGAGTTTAGCTTACTTGTAATTCAAGCTCCTTATATTAGATTTAACTTCGGATTTTGAGAAAGGCTATAAACTTTAGTAAACTTTTTGATAAGTTGCACTAAGTTTAAGATTCCAAAATTGTGGAAAGCTCTGCATTTTTTACTAGAACGGCTAGTGTTTTCATTAAGAATATGCTTAATTTAATATTTTTAAGACTGTCATGTATTTAGTACATATCTACACAAACAACCATGTACAACTTTTATGATGCCATAGTTGCTCAAAACTTTATTTGAAGGCTTAAAGATTTAAGTTATATTAAAATGTTATGTGCCTCTTTTTTTTCCAATTAGTATCTAGAGAATGTTTTTCCCATTAATGTACTTCTCCCTTTTGTTTTGTTAGTGTACCAAATGAAGTAGATGGAATTTTCTATTTTTCTAAAAGCGTATTAGAAGTTCAGTTTATTTCTTCTATAATTAAAAAGGCAAAATAATAAAATGCTTAAGCATTCTACCACTAGTAACTGCTCAAAAAATAATAGGAAAGAGTGGTGCAATTGTCAATATTATAGTTGCCATTATTATGATTCTGTACATTTCTGTGTGTACAAAACAAATGACAAAGCATATGCATAGGTTTAGAACCCCCAAATAAAATTTATCATTAGCTAATTAGTTCTGTTCAATGTTTGCTTTTTAAATGGTACACAATTTCAGAAAAATAAATTTCTAATACTTACTGTTTGTAATGTTCTAAGCAAGAGATGCTTCCCAACCCCCAATCCGTGGACCAGCACTGAACCGTAACATGCCAGAAAATGGGCCATGCAAACAAGCAAAGCCCCATCCATGGGATGCAGGCAGCACATGAAACCATGTCCCTCCAGTCCACAGAAAAACCTCTCTCCGTGGAACGGGTCCCTGGTGCCCAAATGGTTGGGGTTCGCTGCTCTTAACTTTGTGATTTACACTAAAATGTAAATAAGAATTTAAGAATGTTTGTATTGTTTTGTACTTCTTCAATATTGTGGGGCCCACTATATCACAGTTTTGTGCTGGACTGCTTTTGAACTATATGCCAATATTTACCTGTATTCATCCTGACGTCAAGTCGTATCTTTATTTTTTATTACTTTAATGGGGTCCATTGTTTCTTAAAATCAGTTTAATACTGTTTAAAAGAAGTTATAGAATAAAACAAGAATTCTCCATAGAATTTATGTATAATTCATGACATGGAATACCAATACTATGCCATGAATGATCCATAAATTTCTCTTAAACTATGATTTGAGGATATGCCATGGTTTATAAGATAATTCATATTTGTACTAGCTGTGCAATTAAAGAGACTAGAACTCAAATATAATTTGAAGATAAAAGAATTTCCTGCTTATCACATAGCCCAAGCGCCCCTTTCATTCATATAAGGGGAAATTATTTTTGTCTGAATCAACTCCTGGGTTGCTTAGAAAAGAGTAAAATGATAATTTCCCTATTCATATTAACCTGCAGATAACTTAATGTTGAAAATTAGTATCCTAGATTGCTTCATCCTTCAGAATTTTTAAAAAGCAGCCATCACACATTGCTACGGATGATTGTAATGGCTCCTGCCATTTTTGTGTGCTTTCTCCTAGAAATGCTAGTAGAGTACACAAATAGTATAAATACTATAAACACTGATATAAAATGTATGTTTATTATGCGTGTCTCTGTCTACTCTCTAGAGTAAACTTCCAGCTCAGAGGTCTTTGGGAAGATATAGAATGCATTTATATACTTACATACTTGATTGTTGGTCTTGGTATTAATCTATGCTCATCTGGTTGTTCACCAATCAAAATCAAATCAAGAAGTAAATAAAACACTAATCAAGGAACTGCCAAACAAGCTAACAACAAACAGCCCAACCAAAGAACCTCTAAAACCACTCCTACCAACACTGACAGGACAAGCCACTAGAGAGGGGTGTCAACCCTCCGGGCTGGATGCATCATGTGCGAAGGGGAAAAGTCATAATACATCATGTGACGACACCCTGAAGACACAAGTTTGACACCCCTACACTAGAGTATAAGAGAGCAAATTGCACTCCTTACCTGCATTGATGATGTTATCGAGTTTGAGTAATGAAACATCTGCAAGAAAACAACCAAGTTCAGCACCAAGGACCCTTCACTTCAACCTGAACTATAAATATTCTCCTTTATAGGTGGATACACATACAGCAATTTCCTATATGTTACATAGTATTATGTATCTCTTGAGCTAGCTTGCTACAGGAAGGAGGTGATGAATATTTGTTTCCATTGATTGATGAATAATGTAAACTTCAGCTGCCAGTCTGATTTACCCCTGTACATAAAACAGCTGTCTCAGTAGTATATCTTGGTAACAGTCTTTTCCAATTGGGAAGAAAAAGGAATAGTAGAAAAAGATAATAGCAAACTATTTCTGTAATATCTTTGAGAAAACCAAGTATATGTGGTATCTAGGGCAACGCTTACTTTATTTTTGCCTTTTTGCTGAGTTTTTCCAGCACTGATGTTAAATCTGGTGGCAACTGAAAATACCTCTATTAAGCCTTAATATCCCAGCTTGAGTTCCTGAGCAAAAGATGTAATATGTCAATCTCCAAATGATTCTACAGTAGTCCAGATTAGAAAAAGGATCCCTTTAGATTTTTCCAGTCTGCTACAATGGTCACTTTCTAATATCACTCAAGCCTAATGAAATTGAAACCATAGTAAAGGTGTGAGTCTTTCGCTGTATGTGCTATGTATTCAGTTGTAAATTAGCCATCCAATTTAGCCTAGATATGCAAACCCTACCCTTGTTGGTTTCTAGTTCTCTTGCAATTTTCTAAAACTGAATTGAGTAAACCATAGGCATGCTTGTCGTGAGAATAGCTTACATTTATTGATATAAATATGAAAAATGTGCTGTATAGAACAAGTTGTGGATGGGCAGAATCCTCTATTTACTATTCAGTTCACTGATACCATTTTTAAACACATATGCACCCTACAAATCAAACATACCTTTGTATACATAGTGAGAGGTACTACACATCTAGCAGCTGACACATAAACAAGACTATGCAAACAGAAAAGAAAGAACTGACTACAACATTAATTCAAAAGGCCCAGAAGAGCAAATAAGGAGTGCTTCGCATTGTCAGATTGCTCAAAACGAGTAATCGTGACTCACTCCCAACTGATACGGAACTGATAAAAACAAGAATGGGCGGAATGTCCTGTAAGCATTAACACCCACGTTTTCAACTCCTTTTACAAAACAAACCATTGAGAAATCCTTTTGGGATGGTTACTCAATCTAACATTGCTCATCGTGCTCGCTCTCTAGCAAAAGCGAAAAACAGTCTTGCAGAGCCCTTAACGACGAACCCGTTGACCAGATCAAATCGGAATCTTTTCAGGCCTTCGGGGGACGAAGCGGGGCTGTGCTCTGGGAAAGCTGCAGCGCCGACCCCGATCCCTGCTCCTCTCATCCTAATAGGAGGCTGGTTTGCGCGGGAGAGCAAAAGCGGACGGAACCAGCCCAGCACACCTGGCAAACCACCACGCGAACTCCTCCTCCTGCTGCCCCCGCTCACCGCCCGCCTCTTTGATCCTTTTCCAGACAGCGATTGGCCCGAAGTCTCCAGCGCCGCCTCCTTTTCTTCTGATGCCCCGCCTCTCTCCCCTTCCCTCCTCTCTCCAGTGCCTCGGAGAGACTTGGAACTAACTTAAATTGTTGGTTTATGCGTTGGGATCGCCGTTGTCCGCGGAGCACACAGTAAGCTACGTTGGGATGCTACGGCCGGTGGGGAGTGATGGGGTGGGGTTATCTATGCCTGGCGCGCTGGGGGCACAGCAGGAATTGGTGGAGTGGGAGGGTGAGCGAATGCCTCGGGTTTAGCAATGTTTGATGTTTGCACTAAGGCGGAGACGAGTGGGTGGTCCTCGCCCAAAGCTTTGGCTGGCTGAGGGTGCGACTTTTCATAAGCAGTCAAGTCTCCGTTTTCAAGCTAAATTCTTGTTTTAAGTCTCTGGTTCTTAGCTTTGGGATTAATTACAATTCGTTATACGTTATTAGCGTTCCCCACGTTGCATATTGCATAATGAGCTTTTTCACTGGAACTAAGAATAGGACTTAGAACGTGGGGAAGGAGCAGAAAGCTCCTCCTATGTAGAAGTACATTCCGGGCTATATCTTCAAAACCAAATGCTGCCAATATGGAGAATCAGTGTGATGTAGTGGTTGAAGTGCTGGCCTAGAAACCTCGAGACTGAGTTCTAGTCCCGACTTTGAGCCAGTCACTTTCACCCAGACCACTCACCTCACAGGGTTGTTGTTGTTGTCGGTAAATAGGAGGAGGAATTATTGTGTATGAAAGCAGGATTAAAACCTAATCAAATATCTTTGTTTTAAATAGAGATTCTGCTGTTAATAGAAATATCAACCGAGGCAGCAGTGGTGGGTTTCAAAAAATGTTACTACCAGTTCTTTGGGTGTGGCTTGGTGGGTGTGGCTTGGTGGGCGTTGCAGGAGAAGGATACTGTAAAATCTCCATTCCCATCCCACTCCAGGGGAAGGTTCTGCAAAATCCCCATTTTCTCCCCATCAGCTGGGACTTGGGAAGCAGAGAATAGATGGGGGTGGGGTCAGTCAGAATTTTTACTACGGTTCTCCGAACTACTCAAAATTTCCGCTACCGGTTCTCCCGAACTGGTCAGAACCTGCTGAAATCCACCTCTGTGAGGCAGGCAGCGTGCCTTTTTTCCCTAGAAGCTAGTAGGATTTTCAGAAAAAGGGGAGAACAGCTCATTTTTAAATTTGACATCTTATTGTTTAAGGCCTGGAGAAGAGCCTAGTGCTGGGAACAACTGAGGGCAAAAGAAGAAGGGGATGGCAGAGAATGAGGTGGCTGGATGGAATCACTAAAGCAGTTGGCGTGAGCTTAAATGGTCTCTGGGGGATGATAGAGGACAGGAAGGCCAGGAGGAAAGTTGTCCATGGGGTCACAATGGGTCAGACATGACTTCACAACTAACAGTGGCTAAGGCACTGAGCTAAAGTTTGGCAGTTCGAATCCCTAGTATAGGTCTACTATGTGAGCAGGAGGTTGGACTAGATGACCTCCAAGGTCCCTTCCAATTTTGTTACTGTTACATTGTTCAAGGCAACCTGTTGAATGTGGAGCTTCCCCAGTCTGGTGATTTTTAGCATCAGGAAGCTGCAAATACCACAATCAATCAGGAAGGCAGCTACTGACTGAAATTGTAGTTCCTCATAATTGGATGGACACCTGGTTGTAGAAATCTAGATTGGCTTTTATCATTGTGAAGACCTATTCATGTGTACCATGGCAATCAACAGTTTAACAGCTGAATTGTAGTTTTTAATTCTATTTTTAAAAATTCCTTTTAAAGAGATCAATAGGATCTAGCCGTATAACTGCATAGGATTGTTAGATACCAGCTGATTGTGTTGTGATTAAAACTTTTATTTATTTATTTGCCTAATTTATTTAGTGGTCCGTCTTATATTGCAAGTAACTTGGTGGCATACAAAACTAAAACATCAAAAATCATTACCTTTATTTAAAAACTATAAGAACTGAAATTAAAAATAATAGATGAAGGGAAGTTAACAGTGATGACGCC